TGTTAGAAAGATAAAAAATGTTTATAAAAATTGTTCGAGAGATAAAATAATATTAGAAATTATTAAAATTTTGCTCAAAAACTGCACGAGAGATCAAATATTGTTCAAAAATAGCTTGAAAGATAAAAAACTGTTAAAAATTGCTCGAGTGATTAAATAGTGTTAAAAATTTTACAAAAAATGTTGTACAAACATTGCTCGAGGGATAAAAAAAGTTGTTAAAAATTACTCGAGAGATAGAATACTGTTAGAAATTTATCGAGAGATAAAATATTGTTTTAAAATAGCTCAAGAGATAAAAAAAAGATTTAAAAACTGTTCGAGAGATAAGAGGGCATCAAAAGGTATTAAAATCTTATTCAAAAACTACTCGAGATATAAAATAGTGTCAGAAATTTGTCGAGAGATAAAATATTGTTTAAAATTGTTGTGTTCATGTTCTCTATAAATCTTTTTTGCTCTTTAATGACCATACTTCATAATTAAAAAAATCTGGTAATTTTATAGAATCTAGTACATTTTCATGAAATCTGGTACATTTTTTAGAAAAATCTAGTACATTACAAAAATATATTCTGGCAACACTGATCGCATCAGTCACCAACGGACTGGAAATGCATCAAACACATAATCACGGCCGGAAAGGCGCTGACATCGGCTCGCTGTTAAAATATATCTATTTGTAGCGTAGTAACGTATTCTAAAAAGCTCGACAAATACTTACACATATTAATAATTGAAATTGAATTTACATATTTAAATAAATTTCACTGAGAGTTTCAAGTTTTTATTATAAGATATTTTAGTGATTTTATTTAAAATAAAAGAATATTTTGAAGGGATGCATCGCATCGCCTGCATCAATAGAAGCTTTACCACTGGTGATAATAATACATTGTATATCTATAGAATTACGCATAAATAAATTCTTTTTTTGGAAAATAACTTATTTTATTTTCCTTAAAATGAAATTATGCATATATACGGGTAGTATTATTTCCATTTAAGCAAACCGCCAAATTTTAGTTAACCCCACCGTTGGCGAAACAAAACACAATCCCCATTTTAATGTATCGATCTGATACTCTTGTTTTTTTAATTTCTCTATGAGTAGAACTTTATAGACCGAAACGTCATTACACTTTCTAGGAGGTTAAGGAATAGTTACCAGATTGTTTTTGTGCATGTCAAGTAGCACTTTACAGATAATAATTAATAATAATAATAATAATTCACCCCCTTACGAGTGAATTTTAACCCCAAAAGCTGAGCTTGTGCGGAACGGCCATTATTATTATTATTATTATTATTATTATTATTATTATTATTATTATTATTATTATTATTATTATTTGCCGTGGCGCTCCGGGGCGACTTAAAGATGATTGATGGTGCCATTTGACTTGCAGGTGAGGAAAACCCGGAAAACCTCACCCACCATCAATATAAATATTTAAAATTTACCTACCTGACCACCAGACTTTCACTATTTTCATGCTCATGGTATGTTAAGGAAATTAGCGATTTAGGATTACAAATACAATTATCAGAATTGAAAGACAAAAGTGCTATTTTGTTTAACATAACGAGTCCTATAATTCCAGACAGATTAGAGGAAGTTAAATAAATAATAGGGAATAAGAAGTATCTAGGTACCTGTTTTGTGAATTGATCGCTTTACTAATTTTAGAAACGAAAGGGGGATAATTTAACAAAATTATGTCATTACCGAATATTCCGTTGTGTGTGTCCTTTGTGTTTAATTTTTGTGTTGTAAAATATGTGGTGTCCGTGAGTTCAACCTGCAGATAGTACTGGTGGTTGTAGTAGCACCAGTCGACAAATTGTAATTATTGTTCATACTACCCTTATGGGACGTGGAATGTCCACGGATCAAGCTGCGCAAGACAATGCCTCTTTAACAAAAACACCGTATTCCACCGTATTTAAAATAGTATTTAACCCTATTTTAGAAAGAAAGAAAGAAACGAAAACACTCTTGTGGTTCAAGGAAACAAGAGGACTGTGATGTAGATAGAATTATGACTTTGCCATCATGTTTCGCTTCAAAAATGATAACAAATGATATGCACATGGTCAATAACGTGACTTTTTGTAAATGTCAAATTTTACATTTTCAGAAAATTGCAAAAAGTAGCATTATTTTTAAAACTTTCAAAAAAGGCTTGAGAAAAAAGTTGCTTATTATTTAATTTTTTGCTCATATACCAATTTTCAAGTTCTTGACGCAACTTTTCTTTTTTTTTTATTTTTTTTACCAATTACTTTGTAGTCAAATTTGACAATTTTTTTAAAAAAATTGCAAAAAGTATCATTACTTTTCAAAATTTCACCAAAGGTCCGAGGAAAAAGTTGCTTATTATATAGTTTTTTGCTCATATAGGTACTAACTTTCAGCTTTTGTTTTTTTTTTTCAATTTTTTTTTAACTTTTCACTTATGCAGTTTACGATATTTTGAAAAATAGTACAATATTTTACAACTTTAAGGAAAAATGGTAAAATTTTGACATTTTCAAAGTCGCGTGATTTACCATTTACATGTCATTTGTTATCATTTTTGAAGCTTAAAATGTTGGCAGTCAAAATTTATCTACAACAATAAGGAAAAAATCCCATATGATGTGAACTTTATGTATGACAGTGTATATCAAATATTGTATCTAAATAAATAATTCTAAATTATATTCAAGCGATTTTTTTTTAATAATTATTTTAACCCAATTTATCATTATACATATATAACAGAACTTAATGCCTAGAATAGGTACGTCTCTGCGTAGAGGAGACCGCCGGCTGATAACTCAAGTAGTTGGTGTTTCATGACCTTACAATATTTCTGGTTCTACTTGCATTTTTTTGGCAGTTATGCAGCTCTACAGCACCTCTGCACCGGTCGTCATTGTAACACATATTTTCCTACACTGTTTTTTAATTTAAGCCTGGTGATAATTAGGGTCGAAACTATCTATTCAAGAAAATTATTATACAATAAAATAGTGGATGGCAAACTTTGCGATTCTCATTCATTGTTGGATAAAAAATATATTTTCAGTTGTCAACCGGTAATGGTCAGTTAGATGCAATAAATTCACATTGTAAATGATTAGCCACGTCATTGAGCAAAAAATACGGTACATTATCATTGTTTATGTAATTCTGAATTACCTACATGATTATAAATATGTAGGTATATTGCATTAGAAACATCCTTTTGTATTCCATTAATTTGATAGTCCATTTATATTTATGAGAACTACTTTTAAAGTAATAACAAACTTGTATTTACTCAAACTTGGATTTATACATAATAATTGTAAATATAGAATGCGCAACAAAAGTTTTAGTAAGGGCTATTCGTGTTCGAGAAATTCCTCGGAAATGTCGATCCACCCTACTGAAAATTTTAAATTGCAAGATCCATTGCTCTATGCGAATTTAACTTTACCCTAAACAAATATATTTTTTCTACTGTTTGAGACATTAATAGTCCATTTTATATCAATAATATACATTTTCATTTTCAAAATTTATAATATCACGGTTTCAAAATAATAGAGTGAGAAAATTTCAGAAATGTGTAGTGGAATGCTGACAATGCTGACAATTTTTATGTTAGAAAATATTTTATTTGAGCTAAATAACCTTCTTATTATACATAGACCATATTTTCTGTGTGAAGCGTAATATAAAATTATTATTAGGTTTATAATATCCACATTAGACTCCATTAATGAAGAAGTTTATTTCTGCTCTCAATTAAACAAAAGATTCTCCATTATTATTTAATTAAAAAGTTGTACATTATTTTTCATTTCATTTAACCAGTTGATATTTTCCCAAAGAACAGGTCAAACTTTCGGGTACTTACCTGAAAATACTCATAAAAATTTTAATCCGAAATCCGCGTAAGTATAGCGAACAGACTGTATATACCATTGCTCTATGGACCGTTAACTACAGACTACCCTGTTCATAAATGATTGTAAAAATAAATTATATATACCATTGTAAAAATAAAATAAGATTCGTCATAAAATTTAAATAAAATCGCCGCGCCGTTAAATTTAAATAACACAAAAATAAAATACGAATTCGCGAAAATAAATAAAAATAAAATAGGTTAGATTGAAACCACGTTTGAAATACATTTGGATCCAAGTCTTTGATAATCCCCATTTTTTGTGATTTAAAAACATTTAGCCCAAATAACAAACCGGGTATCACTGCCAATATGCATAATTATTAAACGACGTCCTCTATCCGAAGGTGATTTCAATCCCATAGAGAGCTCTTGTAAGAAAGCATCTCTTATGATTTTTAATTTCTAAATGTAGCCAAACTTTTGTAATTATGTACCATTGATTTACCCAGGTATGGCAGTTTTCGTCCAAATAATAATGTTTTCCCTCATTGCGATATCTTTTTTTGCGATTTCTTTTTTTTTTCTCAATAGTGCACTATCATGTTTTTTCTTACAATAACGAAAAGTCACATCGTGAGGCTCGACGCGATATGTTTGGCAAACTATCCCTCTGTAACTCGGCACTCATTTTATTCACAGTAGGGATTTCATTACAAAAACAAAAAAATGAATTTTTTGGCGAATTGCGTTTAAAGTAAATATCTAAAATTATTATTTGATTAAATCTCCGTTTTTCTTTATTTATATTCGATTGTAACTGATTAAGATCAGTAATATTCAAATAAATGTAGAGATAATAATTTTTGGTATCAAACACATTTAAAAATATTACTGAATACCTTTTTTACACTGCGGAAACCTAACACTACTTCAGTCTCGCAGTTTAGGGACTAAAGTGTCAGTTTTACTCCCTTAGAGCAAATAAAAAACAATATAAACCAGTCAACTTGGATAATCTAATTTTACTATTTAGACTACAATAATTTATTTTAATTTGTTGATTTAAAATAATTTGAAATTTTATTATATAATATACTATTTTCTTTAAAAATCTAGTTCGCCAAGGCTCTCTTAGAGAATACCTTCCACCTACACCTGGCGAAAAACCTAGACCTTTCACTTCCAGACCTTCAACCGAAGGCGCTGGAATAGACGAAGAGGGTAATTTCGTTGACACTGGATATCCACCAGCGGGAATTACACCCCAACCCCCTTTCACCATTATCACTAACCCCGCTACTGGCGGAATCACGGGAATAGGTTCTTCCGGGATACCTGGAGAAGAAACAACAGGATCGGGAGGTAAGCAAAAATAAACTGCTCAACAATTGAAGTCTTTAAATTTAAAAATGTTAAAATAATATACTATCTATAGCAGGTAAATTGAACCGGTTGCAATAGCATCCTTAAACATTACAATTGGGGAATTTTAAATGTTTAGAATTTCTCTAAATATAAACTTCAAATTGTTGAGAAGTGTACATAAACTAATAGAATTCATTAAAAAAGAAAATGTATGTATTTATATCTACCAACTTAAGCAAATTTAAGAAGTAAAGTTTCCATGTGCTTTTGACAAAAACATTTAAAGAACTTATTGACAAATGTTTAGTCTAAAATAAAGAGTGATCCACAGAAAATGTTTTTAAAGTAGACCTTAACGGACAAAAATAGAAATACCATTCATGTCCATGATAGCTATGCTCTAAATTAAAAAATTAAATCCAAATTGATGCTAAGCAGAAGAAAAAGAATTGTACGTTCAGACATGAGATAATTTTTCCAAGGCCTACTTTAAGACAGAAATTGTGGATCACTCCATAGAAAGATTTGGTTGTGTTTTGTTATAAATTTTAAATTGATTTAACATTATCACATTTGAACCCACCTTTTATTGACTACAAATGGAAGATATATATTTTTACATGAAATTTTACATACTTTTATTTACTTTTAAACAATTTTAATATTCGACACCATAGTGGAATTACTAACAGGACACTGCTCACTCAAACATCTTCTTGTGATGGGATTACACAATGATCCCACCACGTGTAGACTTTGCATGGAAGAGGAATAAATCTTATATTACATTGCCTTCGAGGCAGCACCACATTATTTTCAGTCTAGAACCCGAAAGGGCGCCCTGGAACACTTATATAATAATAATAATAATGTTTATTCATGTAAGAAATTTGTTTACAGTAAATACAATAAAAATGGGTAATTCAGAACAAACATAAACTTGGTACGGATCATAGTAAAACGAACGATAAATAGAGGAGCAATGAAATACAATAGACCCAAGAGACCGCAGTGTTCTGTGTTAAATCTACTTATAACCGTCAAAGATAAAAATGTAGAATTAGGTATAGCGTAAACAAATAATTTCTTTCAAGGTACATATTATCCAACTCAGAGCAGTAGAAGACCAAGCTATACTCCCACGCCCTATCCAGAAAGACCTGGATATTCGACTACTGGAATAACAGAAAGGCCAAGCTATCCTAGTTATGAAACTCCAGGTCCAGAAGAACCCGAAGGAACACCAGGTCAAACAATTGGAACTCCAGAAGTAACACCCGGTTATCCATCAGGTGGTTCAGGAGGAGAAACACAAGTAATTGAAAATTTGCTACTTTAATAATAGAGTGTGAAAAATAGGTTTTATATTAACGACTTACGATAGCTTTACTAGCATTCCATCCATATAAGTGAACTTTTTATGAACTTTTAATATTAGTTATTTAAATTACAAACTTTTAACAGGGTTATCCAACCTCCTCGCCATCTGGCTTTACCGGTTATCCTTCTGGAAGACCCACTGAACCCAGTTATGCCCCTTCAAGGGAAACGGGATATCCAACATATCCAACCTCATCTCCCTCAGGTTTTACAGGTTACCCATCAGGTGCTCCACCAGGTGCAACTGGTTTTCCTACTAGATTTCCCACAGCTCGACCAACATTTGGAGGAGAATATACGGAACCAGCTGAAGGAGGTAAAAATAATGAATTTGATGATACATTTAATCTTCTTTTTATTTACATTTTTTTTTTTTAATTATATAGAATTTCCAACGTCGCCATCTGCCGAAGGTTACCCATCATCTAGACCTACAGGATACCCTACTGGACCTCCAACGGGATATCCAAGTGGCCGACCATCTACTGGGCTTCCTTCTACTGAAATTGAGTACACCTCGGCTCCAGGATTTCCAACATCTCGCCCAACTGGTTACCCAACCGGAACTCCTGGTTACCCTACTGGGACTCCCAGTTTTCCAACATCTCGTCCAACTGGTTACCCAACTGGAACTCCTGGTTTTCCAACTGCCAGGCCAACTGGTTACCCTACTGGAACTCCTGGTTTCCCTACTGTTCCTCCAACTGGTTACCCTACTGGAACTCCTGGTTTTCCAACTCCTCGACCAACTGGATACCCTACAGGAACTCCTAGTTTTCCGACAGCTCGCCCAACAGGTTTCCCCACGAGAACCCCTAGTTTTCCAACATCTCGTCCTACCGGTTTCCCAACCGCTGGTCCATCGGAAGAACCAGGTTACCCTGCTGCTGGTCCATCGGAAGAACCAGGTTACCCTGCTGCTGGTCCATCGGAAGAACCAGGTTACCCTTCGGGATATCCGACTGGAAGACCAACAGGTTATCCAACTGCCAAGCCTACACCAGGTAGTTACCCAACAGGACCTACGGGTATTTAGACTGAAATAAACATATAAAAGTGTTTATATAAAAAATTGTTGCAGGTGGTTCATCAACCGAAGAAATACCTGATGAAACAGGAACGTCTGCAGAAAACGTGCCTGAGTTTCCAACTGCAAGACCACCCGGACGCATATCGACTGAACAGCCTGCAAAAGAGCCTACAGAAGGTCTTCATGGTTTTCCAACTGCAATACCAACAGGTATTCCGGGAGAGGAATCGGAACCTATTGAACCAAGTGAAGGTACCGGAAAAACAGGTAAATTGTTAAGAATATTTTCCCATTCCAGTTTAATACATTTTATGATTTTTCTTAGTTCCTCCACCAACAGATGATCTTAAACATCCTCCTCATATTCACGCTTTGGATGTACAGTGTGCCAAAGATATGATGACTATCAATATAGAATTTAATAGACCATTTGATGGTGTGATATATTCCAAAGGATATTACAACATGCCAGAATGTCGATATGTTAATGAAAATTCTGGGCAAACCAAGTATACCTTTACAGTCAATTTGAATATGTGCGGTAAGGAATTTATGCCATTTAATTTGTAATGTAATTTAATCAACCTTGTGGGGCAGTTTTAATGATACATAGTCCAATCAAATGACAACGAAATCCTAATAAAAAGGGTATTTTTCAACAATGTTTTAGGTACGCAATTTGTGAATGCCTTCGACACCGAAGGTCAAAGTTACCTTGAAAATATTTTGGTGCTTCAAAATGAACTTGGAATTCAGGAAGAGTGGGATACAGTTCGATCAGTGCGCTGTCTTTGGGAAGGAAACCTTAAAGAGCAACTTAGTGTCACTCTTATGGTCGGTATGCTATCACAAGAAATCGTTACCTTCAGCGGAGACACTGCTATGGCCAAATTGGATGTTCTACTGGGACGAGGTAAATTTATATTATTTTATTTCATACTGTCCGGTGTATACATTTTGTCTTCTATCACTATTGTGAATACATATTATTGTACAATTTAAATTAAATTCTATTTTGGTTTTGCTAGGACCTTTCGGTCAACCAGCCAGTGGACTGGTGAAAATCGGAGAACCTATGACATTAGTAGTATCAGTTTCCGGAGATCCAGGATTTGACGTTCAAGTCAAGGATTGCAGAGCCACAGATTCATCTGGTATAAATGTCGTTCCTTTAACAGATGACGATGGCTGTATTTTGAAACCTAAACTATTTGGATCGTTCCAAAAAACGAGAAATACTGGAGATACAGGTAAAAATGTAAACTTAAACACTTAATATTGAGTGATCCTCAAAAAAAAAAATGTAAATGTAAAAATGTAAAGTAGACCATGAAAAAAATCACGCATGTCGGAGCGTACAATTCTATGGAAGTGACACTGCTGACAAACTTGTTTCAAACAATCACTAACTTGTTATCTGTCAGGGTATACAACACTGTCTGAGAACAAGATGCTTACAACCGAAGGAATTTTTTTATATGTGAAGCTTAAAATACGCAGTACCGACATTATAACTCTAATCAGAGTTGCTATGGAAGTGACACTGCTGTCAAACTTTTTTTATTTTTTTTATTTGTATTTATTCGGAACACAGACAGGACTAGCCCAAAAAACTGTCCACCAGATTATACAATAATATAGTACAAAGTTTTACAATAATTATATCATTTACAATAATACCTACTCAAAAATAAAAATACGGGTGGCACTCGGGGACTGCCGCGGTAAAGCTATTGCACAGCATTTTTTATCAACTTATGCAATTATAATTATTTATTTATTTTATTTATGCAGTATTTTATTTTTTTGTATATATATTCAAGTTTTTTCTTTGATATTAATTCAAGTTACACTTTTTGAGCATGGAGACCGATAAGAAAACAACTTTTTTCTTTTATTGAATAAATGAGAAGTTAATATTGTTTAAAATATTTTTATTATCTTACAATACATGTAGGTTATTCAGGAATTTTTATCATTGAAACTATAGAGGTTTATGGTAACTGAAATAAGAAACATAAGTTTGGAAAATACTGCGTCAATGGTGGTCCCATATTTTGTTGTGGATTCTTGTGGATCATTATTCATTTTCAAATTCAATTTTTGCGAAATTGTGTCTAAAAGAGATAGAATCAGGTATGAGCAGTTAGCAGCTAGTCTACACGCATACCTCTAGTCGCACGCACACCAACACCGTGCCGAAGTCTGCCGAACTGAAACGACGTTAGCCGATGCACGGCTTTCAACGCCGCACCGCAGTGCCGGTCGGAGTGGGGGGTGTTAGGTTTATTTTCGTTGCGGGATTACGGAATTTCTTGATTCGGTCGCCACGCTCAAAGCCCGCGATAAGAGCTATGCAATAGCTTAAAAACTAAAAACGTTAACTATATTTGACAACTGATTACAAGTTTTTGATATTCTACGGAGGGGAGCATTTAAATAGTAGTTGGTTGCTGCCTTGTTAAGAAAAAATGTATTAATATTTCTAGTATTATAATTTTGACAATTAAACTGAAGGAGATTAATTATATCAATGCAGTATTCTGTGCATAAACATTATATCAGAAATTTGTCTTCGTGATTCTAGATTGATTAAATTTAAATTCGATAAAATTTTGTTTTCTCTTATTTGAGGATAATATTTTTTATGGCAATAAGAAATAAATTTATTCTGAACAGATTGTAACTTATCTATATATACTAAGTAAAAAGGATTCCAAATTATTGATCCAAACATGAGTACACTTTTAACGTAAGCCATATATAATGCTCTGATTGTATGAGGATTTTTAAATTCGTAAGTTGTTTTTAAAATAAAGTCTAATGCTTTATTTGCTTTACTAGCGATATAATAGGTCTTTTCCTTTGCATCGAAAGTGTAGCACTGAGCTACGTTACTTCTGAAAATATTGTTCCATCCATATAATTTGTATAAATGGAACGATATTTTCAGAAGTGGTGTAGCTCGGTTCTACACTTTCGATGCAAAGGAAAAGACCTAATATATATGCTCATCAAACAATAATTTGGAATCGAGAAATATACCAAAGTTCTTTACTTTATCCACTGGTTGAAGTGTAGATTCATTAATGATGTAACTGTTATATAAATGTTACTTCGAGTAAACTGTATATAACTATACTTAGATGCATTCAAAAACAAATTATGTTTTCTGCAATAATCGCAAAATCTATCTAGAGCTTGCTGAAACAAAATCCTATCAAGTAAGCAAGTTATAGAATGATAAATTTTTATATCGTCAGCATACATGATACATTTCGCGAATTTAAAGCAGTTACAGATATTATTGACATAAAGATTAAAGAGTAACGGCCCAAGATGAGATCCTTGTGATACTCCTGATGTAGGAATGATAAATATAGATTTGCATTTACCCAACGCTACCTGTTGAGACCTATTTCTTACATAAGAGTCAAACCATCTTAACAGATTTCCGTGTACGCTGACCTTCGATATTAAGATAGAATGGTCAATTTTATAAAAAGCCTTACTGAAGTCGGTATACACAGAATCTACCAACATTCCGTCATTTAAACTTTTCAATATGTATTCAACATAAACAAATAAATTAGTTTCAACTGATCGGTTGTTCAATGTTAAGAATATTCTTGACATCACAAAATAGAAAATCGAAAATTAAACTTTCAAATAGTTTTCTTAATAAGTTAAGTTTTGATATAGGTCTAAAATTATTCACCTTGTTTTTTTTCCTGATTTGTGGATTGGCCCAACTAAAACCGTTTTCCATTTATCAGGAAACTGTCCTTCGGTTAAAGATTTATTAAATAAAAAATATAAAGGGTCAATGAGAGAATTTTTACACTTTTTAATAAAAGCATGTCGGAATCTCGTCTGGACCAGGACCTTTATCAGGCAAATTGTCTATTTTTAATGAAATCATTTCACGAGATATTTTATATTGGGTCATATTTAGAGGAGCGCTGTTGAAAATAGCAGAAAAATCACTATGACCACTTGGCACTAAAACAGACGAAAAGAAATCCGAAAAGGCGTTACAGATTTCCTGTGAATCTGTAATTAGACCTGTATTGGTTACGAGATTATCGGGTAAAATGGGGGAATTTTTTTGTTTTTAGTATATTGAAAAAATACTTAGGATTTTTCAGTAATATTAGATTCAACCCGATTTAAATATTCTTTGTAATCCTTGTTTATCAAAAATTTTGATATACCACGTTAAATTTTGAATGTCAAATAGTCTATGTCATTATTATATTTTTTCCAGCGTCGATGAAATTTTATCTTTTCTTTAATAGCTCTAATGGTTGACAAAGAAAACCAAAAAGGATATGATATACTTGGGATTCTTGGTAACATGACGGTCCAAAATATTATTAACAATTATTAATTGACTAGCGGACCCGACAGACGTTGTCCTGTCTTAACTATGAATATTGATTTCGAATTCGTATACCTAATTAACTAAAAAAATATTTCAGAAATAAAGTGTTTATTATTCTAATATTAGGCGTGATAGCTCTGAACTAACGGTGATGTGCACTAAGAAAAGCAGTTAGAAATAAAATAATTATTTTATATGTATTTTATCAATATAATAACTCCGATCGAAGCATTTGTTTTAAACGATATTCATCTTTGACGATATTTGCAGCACGTATTCTGTCAATGTTATGTCAAACGCCATAAGGTTACATCAAAAAAGATTGAATTGTAAAAGCGCTATGGTTACATTAGAAATAATTTAATACGGTGGTTAAGTATTCTTAAATTTTCTAATTCTCCGCGCAATTTTCTTATTTTTTTCTTTCATAAGAACCTTCTCCTGACAATAACAAACATAACAAAAAAAGAATTAGCGAAATTAGTCCAGCCGTTCACGCGTGATGCCGTGACTAAGGTAAATAGGGATTCATTTTTATTTCTTAAATTTTCTAATTTTCCGCGCAATTTTCTTAATTTTTTCTTTCATAAACACCTTCTCCTGGCAATAACAAACACAACAAAAAAAGAATTAGCGAAATCGGTCCAGCCGTTCATGCGTGATGCCGTGACCAAGGGAAATAGGGATTTATTTTTATATATATTCTTAAATTTTCTAATTTTCTGCGCAATTTTCTTATTTTTTTCTTTCATAAGAACCTTCTCCTGGCAATAACAAACAAAACAAACAAAAAATAGCGAAATCGGTCTAGCCGTTCACGCGTGATGCCGTGACCAAGGGAAATAGAGATTCATTTTTATTTATTCTTAAATTTTCTAATTTTCCGGGCAATTTTCTTAATTTTTTCTTTCATAAGAACCTTCTCCTGACAATAACAAACATAACAAAAAAAGAATTAGCGAAATCGGTCCAGCCTTTAACGCGTGATGCCGTTACAAAGGGAAATAGTGATTCATTTTTATATATATAGAAGATATATGGGAAAAAGAAAAAGGCTGTTTTTATGGTTTTCCCGGCAATTATTCTAATTTTTCTCACCTTTTAAACCTTCCCTATACCTCCACGAACATTTCAAGACCAATATAAGATAAATCCGTTCAGCCGTTCTCGAGTTTTAGCGAGACTAACGAACAGCAATTCATTTTTATATATATAGATTCATTGATTGTAAGAAATTGGAATTGTTTATTCCAGTCAATTGCAGATAGAAGGTGATTTATTTCAGTGTAGTAAATTGAAGTATTTTTTTATAATGGTTATTTACATTCGTTTTCGTTACATTAGAATATTTAATATCAAATTCTAGAGTAATATGTGATGGATCATCAGCAACCAGTAGACGACTTTATCATTCTTAGTTTTAGCATTTTGTTTTACATTTCTTAAAAGGTGAGTACAGCATCCCCTTATAATTTTCGGACAAGCATATCTCAAAAAGTATTTTTTTTTTAAGTTAAAATTTTGGCATAATAAATTAGGCAATAATATCTAGAATATGCTTATATTTTAAAATTTTAATTATTTTCAGTTTCTAAGAAAAAAAATCAAAGGGCTTTAAATTTTGAAATATCATAATGAAAATAAATGCATTTCTCAACAGCACTATTCTTAATATAATCCCCAAATTTAAGCTCTTAATCTCTTGTTAATAATTTTTTAAAATTCGCCGAAATTAGTGGCTGAAACGCCTCGTTAAGTGCTATTTTCTGGTTTAAACTGGTGTAAACTGGTGTTAATCATTGCAAGAAATGAATGATGACTCAGAGTGTACGATACGATAGTTACAGTCGCGTTAGACCAGAAAGCAGCACTTAACGAGGCGTTTTAGCCACTAATTTCGGCGAATTTTAAAAAATCATTAACAAGAGATTGAGAGCTTAAATTTGGGGATTATATTAAGAATACTGCTGTTGAGAAATGCATTTATTTTCATTATGATATTTCAAAATTTAAAGCCCTTTTATTTTTTTTCTTGGAAACTGAAAATAATTAAAATTTTAAAATATAAGCATATTCTAGATATTATTGCCTAATTTATTATGCCAAAATTTTAACTTTTAAAAAAAATTACTTTTTGAAATAGGCTTGTCCGAAAATTATAAGGGGGTGCTGTAATCACCTTAATAACATTTTGTTTTTCGAAGTTAGGTGCTCATTAATGTATCCTTCATTTGAAATATTTGGAATTTTTAAACCTTTATAATTTTTGTTTTGTCGTCTTTAGTTTTTGCTGCAGCTAAAAAAGCATTTTTTTTTATTTATTTTTAAATTTTAACACTATAGATTTTGGGCACTTACATCATAGGTCGATGCTCTATAAAAAGAGTCGATATCAGCTTCAATCATAGGATAATCAACAGCACTTCCAATTTCCATTGCTATGTTGACAATATTTTCGTTGTTTTTTGACTGGTATTCCATGTATTTCAGCGTTGTTAGATCTAAATTGTTGCTTTAACGCATCAACTCGAGTGTTGAGGTTTTCTACCTTTTTCTTCAGATCAAGATTATCCTAGGTTAACTTTTTTATTGAGAATTGATATTGTTTTTTCGAAATCACTAACAGAATCGCTGCAGAAATTGACAGATTGTAATAAATTTCCATATTTTTCGTTTAAAGATGACATATCTCTCTGAATGGAATTAAGAATGCGTAAGGTTTGGCCTAATTTGTACGTATTTTCATCAGAGTCCTCCTCTGCCATGACAACAGATCGCCTCTTACTCACATCGGCTGAGGTTCTGCAAGGGCGACAGACCCACGAGTGTCCTGTTGTTTTAAATCGTGCTATATCTGTTTTGGTAAGATCGACACACTTTGCATGATCACCAAACACTAAACCAGTTTTTAACGAATAAATATATCGTATACATTAATAAATGTTCGTTGCAAATTTATAATGTTTATTATTAACTATTACTTTGAAATTAAGCACTTTTTATGCAAAATATGTATCTATAAAAATCTCTAAACACTTTCTAAAATATTTATAAAAGTTAAAGAAATATTAATAGACTTTATCGGAGAAAAATTCACAAAATTTACATGTCCGTCTACTACGAAAACTGTGCACGGGAATTTTTGTTTTAAACAAACACTTGTTATTTGTCAGGGTATACAACAAAATGCTTACAACAGAAGAAAAAAATGTTTACCTATATGTGAAGCTTATAATCGCTCATATGAGTTTGGCAGAAATAATGGACCCAGCATGGTACGAAACATCCAAGATCGTCTTAAGATATGTGTCCAACAGAATGATGGGCATATAGAGCATATCGTTGACTATTATAATAGACACTTTGTCTCATTTTTGTTAAATCTGTTCATTCATATATATATATATAAAATATTCGCTTCAGTACCTTAGTTCAGTACTGTATATTTCTAGTCATACTGTACTTACAGATTTATTATTTCTCTTGCACAGCGTTGTATGGTTATTAGTTTTGATAGAACATTGTTGCGTATTCTCCTAGACTCGGCGAAATCGTTGTTTTTGACTTGGATCCTAAGATTCTAGCACTGGTTCCTTACTTGGTATGAACCAACTATATATCAGACAAGTTCATTTTCAATTTTAATAAAACAATCCTTATTTATTTTCTGCAGGTGCCTCCATAATAGCCTATGCCTACTTCAACGCCTTCAAATTCCCTGACGTTATGGACATAATGATAGAATGCAATATAGAGCTATGTAAAACCGATTGTGAAATGTGTTCTGAACCAAATCCCCAATTAGAACCAGGAAGAAGGAGAAGAAGAGATGTATATGGTCAAAATGAAACATTACACGACACCTTAACAATGGCTAAACATCTTCGAGTAATTCTACCCGAAGACCTCGCTTCGGCGGCACTACTAATTAACGAAGGTGTATGCATGTCGACACAAAGTTTCGTATTTGCATCATCAGTATTAATGTCTTTGCTAACTGCTAGTTCCTTAATAAGCGCCTATTTTTGGTTTAAAACACAAAAACTAAGATCTAAGTAATTATTTATTTTACTAACTTTAGGATGAACAAAACAAATTGATTTGAATCAATTTTTCTAGAGAAATATTAAAATATTAAAACAGGTCAAACATTTCAAATAAAAGTAACTTTAATGACAATAAACTGTTATGTAAAGAAAGTGTATACAAATTTTGTACCTGGCGATGCCTAAATTTCGAAGTATATTCAACTTATCAAAAAATAATGACTCTATTTTCTTTATTTAAGTTTGCCTTGAGTTTGTAATATATTTTTAAATGAAGCTCTTGGAGCCTTAAATTGAAAAGATGAATTTTGATGAATATGAAATATAGGGTAAAAATCTACTTTTAATTTCTGCATACAATGTGTCCCGTCACGCGCTGCGCACAGCTTAAGAACGTATTTCTTGAAGAATTTTTAGTCGAAAATGTCTTTCGTCTAAAACTTAATAGTTCAAAAGTTACAGGCTGTGTTAAATTTAACAGTGAATAAATTTGTTAAGCCATGTACCTAATTACTTGTTTTTTGTTTGTAATTGTTTGACTATTTAACTATTGGGTTTTTGACAAAATTAGGTAGGTATATAAAGCATTTTTCACTTAAAATTTTCTACGGAATGCGGTCTTTTCAACTATGCGTATCGAATCTCGGGGCAGTCTGTATATAAGAATTTTGATTAAATAGTTAAACTTCTTACTAATTCAAAATTATCACCCCAATATGTATACCTAAAAGACAATTTTACAACTGTGTAGTAATAGTAAAAAACGTACATGTTCATTTCTAGTTGAATTTCATTGAAAATAAGTTTTTAAAACTAATTGCGTAGTTTAAGTTTTTAGTATTTTTTAATCTCATGTATGCTGATAATAGAATAAATTTTTTAAACAATCACAATTTTAACTAAAATACCACTGCCATTTTAATTAAGATGAATTTTTATATATATTGTACTTTCTGTCAGCTCAATTACGTGTATTTATAATGATTATTTTTTAATATTGTCTATTACTGTATTAAATGCCTATGTTGATATATTTTATTAAATTATTTTTCTACTATATACATATTTTATGTAAAAATATTTTTATGTAAATAAAAAATAAATAAGAAAGGATTTTTATTAAAAAATTAGAAACTCCCAGTGGCGGCTCGTGAGCTGCAAAGGTGGGGAAATGTGAGGATTATGGAAAATTTGTTTTTTTATTTATATTCTATTTTTACATTGACATAGAAAAAATAATACACTACACACTGCGCCTTGTCAATAGTCAATAAGCAAAATGAAATATATTTCTTATAGTAAAACGTCTTACAAAAATAATTATTTCAAAAAAAAATCAAATATGAAAATCGACATATTTAAATTGTTTTTAATTTTTGTTCCACGAAAGTTCATGGCATGACTTCCTGAAATTGAAATCTTCTCAACGATCCTTCATTGAAATAAATTTGTCCATGACTTTTTTCGTCGAAATTATTGTGATATTTGTTTATTTTAAAACAACAGTTTATTTATTAATAATTTATTTAAACACTTATTTATTTTATAACAGTACTTCGAATGTCTTTAAATCGTTCACTATTTATATTCACCACTGTTTATCTACTAATAATTACTATTTATCTTCACTGTCCATATAATAACTGATTCTGCTGGGTCCTCCACCAATATTTATATACAAATTTAAAAAATTGGCGAATGTTCTAGAAAGTTCACATATTCTCAACAATAGACTAGAATCATTATCCCGTCCTTTCTCGAATAGTCATCGAAAGCACCTCCGCCATAATCGTCCCATAGGTTTCGTTTTAAGGGGTTTAATTATGTAAAATAATCGGACAAGTTGAGCCTCAAAGGCCAAATAAGACAGAGAGGGACTTGAAGGGTTAGAGCATGACTGAATAATAAAATGACTCACATAACATTATTTATCTCCAGAACCAAATTTCTATTTATTGATACATAGCTAAGGAGTTTAGTCTATCAATTACCATGATGCTTCGTAAAAATTCCGTGAAAATTATAAAACAAATTTAAAAAGCAGAACAGGTGCCTGACCCCTCATCATCTAAATTCCAAATGTTGGCCGGCTGCGAAAAAATTGAGCCCTAATCTGCACTAAAACAGCCGGCTGCAAGACGTGCTTTTAGCACGTGTACCACTCCGTTTCCATAGTGACGCGGGCCTCTACCTTACTGCGGCCGACGATAGTCCAGTCAATGAGCTCATTGTTATTATAGGAAGGATTTGGAGGGGACATAATAAATAACACAGCATATGTCGAGACGACAGGAAATATTATAAAATAAACATATAAATAATTTTAATTAGCATTAGATTATTAAACCTAAATAGCAGTATTAGAAACAGTTTGTATCACAAATTATCAACCAGTATGTCTATTGTGAGCAAAGACCAAAAATTTTTTCATCTTTGAGAAAAACCCCACGATTTTCAGTAGAAAATATTCGCATGCTAACAGTACAATTTTTTACTACGGCTATATAATACACTTTCTCAATAATTCTTGATTAAGAAATTTCCTTATTTGACACAAAGTACTCATTCTCAAATTATTTTAATAAAATCACGTGTGCCAATAATTATCTGGAAGAGAGCTGTTATTTTAATTTAATGAATTTTAAAAACTGATTACAAATAGGTAGCAGCGTGTTACAGCCATAGAAAAAGTATAGTGTTCAACTCGCAAGAAATGCTCATTTCTTACTCATTATGATCTATAGCACATTATATTTCACCTCATGATAATTACAGAACGATCCGCCTGCGAATACTGCATATCATGCGAGTAAGAAATGCAGGGCCGTTCTTAGAGGGTGTGCAAATTGTGTGAGCACAAAGGCGGCCAAAATATAAGAGCGAATGTAGGCCGTCAGCAGAAACATAAAATACGTTCATTTTTTGAATATGAAATACAACAGGAGAGGCAATTTATAACCTCAAAGTTTAAACTAGATGTTCAAGGTATCACTATCAGATGTTAAGGCCATATGATAGTGAATCCAATATGTCGGAAAACATATAGGTCGTCAACAAATGGTAAAAATTGTACATTAGTAAGTGATACGCGATGGGAGCGCAGGGTCTTATAAAATGTTACAAAAAAACTGTAAATATGAATCATTGTGTAATGTCATTAAAACAAGCACTTAACTTCAAAACGAAATGCGATCTGACCAACGACGAAAAACTACTAGACTAATCCATTCATTCATAATTAAGCCCATATTTTGTACAAACATTTAGATTGTGTTTTATACTAGATAGACAGAGCTCTCGCATCGGCTGTCGCATTAGAACGAGCGAGATGGCTGCTAAATTGAGTGGGGATGGTTTGTGCGAGCTTATCTGAGGTGCGATCACGCGTTTTATGAACAAACCAGGGTCGTACTATGATTCCTGTTTCACACCGTTGCCACACTGTAAATAAATGATGAGCTTTCTTGTAAATCACCTTCAGCTACAATAATAGTTCCAACCAGAAAAAGAAATAAAGCAGATAAATGGTACTAAGAATTCAAATAACTTCCTTAATGTAATTTTTAAAACATTTTGTGCATTTTTGAGCCTTATGTTTTGTCAATTCCGAATTATAACCATAAAAATTCCATGTAACAACACTTTCACATACTCTCCCATAATATTTTGGCAACCACGTGGATAACACCGTAAATGCTTGCAATACGGTTTTTGTTAAAAAAAATTAGTCTAGTAGTTGTTTGTCGTTGGGTGGGTACTATTTACAGTTCGAGTAGATATAATTAATTTGTTAGAAAATACATTATACCAAGGACTCATTAATTTGTCAATCAAAAATTATTTAGTAATTCCGTATAATTAATTATTTTTGTACTTCAAAACTTAAAACACGAAGTGCTCATAACGGAAACAAGAACCTTCAAGTAAACTGAATTCCGTGGGGTTAAATATATTTCCTCGATACATGTCATGACGCAAATTTTATTTATATTACTCATTTGTCTTTAAGAATTTTGTTTACATTTAATGGGAGACTAATACTTTGCAATAGGAGTTGTCATTCTTTTCAGGGTGTTAAAACGAGATAAAAATCGTTAAAATTTACTTGTAGTTAGCAAACTGCTAGTAAACAGTTTAATGTTTAATATTTATGTACCATTAAATCAGTTTAATTAATTAATAATAAAAAGTGTCCTGTAACACTTCTTTTATAGAAAATTTGGAGGTACGATACAAATTATTACGATTTGCTTTCAGACACAACGATTTTTGACCAATGTTTGACATTAAATGGTGTTTTATTGTTATCTTCCTGTCTGAAGAGTCTCACGTCTCTTTTCAGGCGGTGACCACGTTGACGTAGAGTTTTAAGCTGCGCCAGATCGATCTATATATGACATACATTTTTCTTCAATTTTCTTTATGTAAAAGAGAAATTAATTAAAACTGTCTTTTTTTCTTTATTCAGATAAATTAGCTTAGATGTCAATGTAAAAACATGCGGCAATAAACGTGTTAATTTAATATTCTAGACATAATTTAATTTTCTTAGCATTTACTAGCATAATTTATAAATGTACTATTATAGGTACATTGCCAAAAATTTGATTTAAAAAATATTTAAGGAGTATACATATAAATGAAAAATAGTGTTTTACAACTAGAAAATATATTAATTATAAACAATTAAACAAAAATGTAAAATATTCAATTGAATTTGATCCAACTAACCTAAATCATTATTACAATTATTTAAGAAGAGTAAGTTTCCTAAATCTACAAATAAAAAAAAATTAACATAACTACAAATGAATGTCATTTAAATACCTCATTTTATATATCTACTTTCAATTTTTAAAGAGACTTAGGTATTTAGTTTTAAATAAGTTGCAGTTTTATTATTTTTGATTGTTTATAAATATTTTTAGAACCAAACCCCCATAATATGACCATTAAATAAAATGATAAGTGTTAGTTGGATATTATGGTCCTTCTCAGCATTTTTGACATGTGCCTGGCTACTATGTGAATCTCTTAAGGTTATACATATTTTCCACTTTTATGATTTAACATTTTTTATTGAACTGTCAGACCTATGTTTATATCTCACCATTCTGTGAACAATTTCCAGGTACATGTGTGAGTGATTTCTGCACTTTAGCTTGTGAGTGTCAGATCATGAAGGTTGACTCTCAGTGGCATCACACATAAATTTTATAAAAAAATTCTGAAAATCTGCTATTAATCAAGAACAGTGAGATAGTATACTTTGAGCAAATGGTAACGAATTGAAATGTTTAATTAGATGATACTGATAACTAAAGCTGTCTGTTTACTTATTTCATGTGATAGTGATGATGAGCACAGCAAAAAAGGTGAACAGAACCATACCATTTTTTAATATTGCCAACTTAAAGTTAAAACCTCGTATCTCAGTCTTTAGTGTCTGAATTACGTGAATATAATACATACTAATATTCATCAAACAATGTACTTGAGGTAATAATGTAACAGTGATGTGTTTACTGAAAATATGTTCTGAGATATGACATTCTGACTTTGCCATGTCAACATTTTATTAACAGGACAAGAAATATCAAAATATTAGTTATACAATTTTTAAATTTAAAATAGATACTTAATATAGGTACCTACTAGAAGTATGTATTGACTGGCATTATTGACCAAGGAATATATACAAACCAGAACCGACACTTGGCTAAAATATCAATCTTTTTGTTTCAGCAACTTTTTGTGACCTTGACACAACCACAACTTATAAAAACCGGCCTCAGCTCCTTGTGGACACAGGGTTGTATTTAGAAAAATTAAAGTCTACAAATCAACTTTTATTAGTATTGGTTAAAAATTATGATTTTCAATTTCGAATTGATATAAATTAAAAACAATTTTTAGCTGTGGTTTTTAGCCTCAGATATGGGTATATGCTTTGTCACTATTTCACAGTGCCACCAAGAACTAAATGAAGTGTTGGTTTCATTTTGTACATATTCCTGTTATTGACTCAGTCTTTTTTTTTTGTGTCTGCTGTCAAATTAATGGCTGGAACTCATAGATGTTATCACACCCTTAATTTTATAATAACATACAATTTAAGTGTGTACCAATTACATATGACACAAATATCACATTTCCTTAGAAAAATCCAATGGATTTTTTTTCTAGTCCAATGCTAGATTAAAATAAACCAAATATGACTGTATAAAATATTAACATTTCCTGTCTAGCTGTGGATTACTCTACTCAGTGCAACATAACTCATTTTATTGGATAAATCATGATACCCTATCGGCCCTGCTTCGCAATCAGCACACGTGAGATATTTATTATTACCTACTGTATTAGAAAAGCCCACATTTTGAAAAGTAAACATGTCAGTCACAGCCCAAAAAAGTGAAACATTTTCAGTCTCTGGATTCTGTTCATTAATTTTGGATTGTCTGATTAGTGGCAACTGAAACTGCAATTAATAATTGATATTAATTTATTTTTAACAGTATTTAATAATAAATTTCTAACCTCAAAACTAGTGAAAGCTGCTGTCGATGGAGTCAAGATAACAGAGTTGCAATATTTACATTTAATATTTCTTGCATTCTTCCCATCGGAAATTTCTTTCTCATAATTTTCACTACAATCAGGCATTGTAAGAATATATTTTTAAATATTTAACAACTCGTGAACGTGACGAAAGTGTCAAAAAAGTGTCATCGAAGTGACATACGTGACATGTGACGTAAACAAACTACTGTCACCTGTCACTCTTCTTCTTGTCACTTTATTTTTATTAATAGGTCTTTTCCTTTGCATCGACAGTGTAGCACTGAGCTACGACACTTCTGAAAATATTGTTCCATGATGGAACAAATTTTTGAAGTCACAGTTTATTGCTAAAGAATCAGTTAGCTCACTCGGACCAGTTGAAAGTTCCAAAATAACATCCACTCCATGGATACAAATTCAGGATACGCAGAAGACTGCTGTTTTATTATAGGCGGTTGTCATATATTGTATTATCCGAGTTGCAGTGTATAGACTGAAACATTAGGTCTTTTCCTTTGCATCGAAAGTGTAGCACTGGGCTACACCAATTCTGAAAATATCGTTCCATATATACAAATTGTATGGATGGAACGATATTTTCAGAAGTGACGTAGCTCAGTGCTACACTTTTGATGCAAAGGAAAAGACCTAATGAAATCAAAAGTGCCGACGCAAAGTGAGCGATCTGATTCTTTAGCTGTAAACTGTGTCACAGGGTTCAAAATGGCCGCGCCTTATATTGGGCGTGTCGGACCTCTCTCTTGCCTCGTATTCTTTGGTTACGCTGAATAGCTGACGGCTATCGTATGACTGGAGGTCGAGAAACGTTTTGACAGGCAGTGGCTGACGGCTATCTCCGTAGCTGCCAGCTATCCTAAATAGCCGGAGATTGAAAAACCGGCCCTTACAGATTTGCTAATATGCTAATATCCAACTCTAAATACAAGTGTAACACCGGAACCACCTGGAACTTTAGAGACGTTATAACCGAACTTCGATTTTCGTTCAAGGACGACTTACCCAAGTCCGACTCAAGTGAGTTGTGTCTATAAATACGGACCTGAAGCATTCTCATAGCAAATACAATTTAAAATAATTTTCTGTATTACAACCTCCGAGGAATTGCTCGGAGAATACAACTTCTATATTTAACTGTATTGGTTAATAGATAAGACAATTCTACAAAAAAAAGAAAACTGACAGCTGACATCAACGTACAGACAGCTATCAAAAATCAAAATGACTTGTAGCTAGCTTCTCTTCCTTTTTAAATTTTGTAGACAAGGTACACGTTTCGTTCAAGATATTAAAGTTATAATATTCATTTTTATATGAAGTAAACAATTTAAAGAAGTAAATACACTTAATTTAAGATATTAAATACTTTCACACACATATTTTTCGAATTTAATAATTCGATTAACTGTTTTAATGGAAGATTTTCTCTGATTATTTTTCAAAGTACCCGAGAAATTGCCGATGTAAACAGTGAAAATATTTAATAAACCTAAATTTTAGTGAATTAAATTTTTCTAGTGCTTTATAGTTTGGTTAACTGTAATGTCTCATATTTTAATTTTTAGTTTACAATTTGTTTTATTTTTTTAGATGGATGCAAAAATTATCAAATCAGGCGGGGCTGACCCCGATGCTTTTGAAAACCAAGTTGCTCAAGCTTTGCTTGAGTTAGAAATGAATTCTGATTTAAAAGCTCAGCTTAGAGAATTGCACATTACTAAAGCCAGGGAAATTGAATTGAATAATAAAAAAGTAAGTAAAACAAATTAAAAAGTTATCATTTAACTATATATTTTCTAATTTTAGTCAGTTATTATCTACGTCCCTATGCCCAAACTGAAGCAATTCCAGAAAATCCAGACTAGGCTTGTACGTGAACTGGAAAAGAAATTTAGTGGCAAGCATGTAGTATTTGTAGGTGAACGTAAGATTCTCCCTAAACCTACTAGGAAAACCCGTGCCTCTAACAAGCAAAAGAGACCACGATCTCGTACACTAACATCAGTGTATGATGCTATATTAGAGGATCTTGTGTTTCCTGCTGAAATTGTAGGTAAAAGAATTCGTGTTAGATTGGATGGATCCCAACTAACTAAAGTTCACCTTGACAAAAATCAACAAACTACTATTGAACATAAGGTGAGTGTCAAAATAAAACACTTTATTATTTCCAACAGCTTTTATTTTTCTTTAAGAATACTGGTAATCTTGTAGTTGACCGGTCTAGAAATATGCATATTCACACCACTCTGCACTAACGTTTAAAATTTGCATTTTGTAATTATCACTATCGAAAAACATAACCATAGTATTACTTGAACATTTTTTTTATTCTTATGGTTTTTTTTATTTGATGTAAAAATGGGTAAATTAATGATTAAAAATTAAATAGTTATTTCAATATGCTTTTCCTGGTTCCAAATAATTAAATATAACCTGGCAACTATAGGTCTGTTCCAACACACGCGAAAAACGTAATATTACCCTACAAATCATGTGTTGTATATAATTTTTGGGTAGAGCACATGATTTGTACAGTAATATTACGGTTTTCACATGTGTTGGAACAAACCTTATGTAAGGATTCCAATTGTCAGAACTAGCTGGAACAGAAATAGTGCAGACAGGTGCATTTCCAGACACTTCAACTACAAGATTACCTGTCTGTTTTATCAATTTAACATTAAATATAATCTTACTTTCTACTTTTTGGTAGGGTTGACTATGTAGCAATTAATATGTTACAATTTTGTTGATACAGGTTGGACATTTAAATAATATTGATCTTTCAGTATTTTATGAATAATTTTATTCTCAAATGTATTATTTTTTTAATTTTTGAGGAGAATCAACACATCTGTGCAACACTGATTTCCATTCTATATATTATCTTGTTTAGTTAAATGTTGATTTTAAATTTGTATAAGTTGTGTAGGTTTAATGATTCTATCATATTTATCAAACTTTCTATTACTACATTTCCTTTGCTTAGGCTTTTGTATATTTGTATGTATTTTTCAATTATATTGTCAGTCAGGGTTGGCAGGTACAGGTTTTTTTGCACCTAGATTTTTTAGGTTATTGAAGATAAGTATTAAAAATTTACAATTTTACTAATCAACTCTCTGGAGAAAGGGTGCAAAAATGAGTATATAAAAGCAAATGCAAACATTTTATCAAAGGTTATATTCACATCTTGTGCCGCAGGCAGAAAAACATATAGATTAATTCAAAACAGCAAAATTTAGTTTCCCATATAGTACAAAATTCTTTGGTCACCAAATGTTTTTTAATGTATATTATGCCCAAAGTAAAGAAATAAATTTGAATTAGTTTTGCTGTAACAAACTCAAAACAATTCTATCATATTTAGAAAACTGAGGATAAAATAATGAACTCCTAAAATTGGTAAACTAAAACAGTATTCCTGCCAAAGAAATAGATATTTTTTTTATGCAGATATGAATGTTTTTGTAGATTTGTTGTCTATTTTTGGGATACTGCAAAATACAATGGCTTTTACTTTAATCAATTGACAGTAAAGTTTTGCAAAAAATGATTTTTTTTTTTAATTAGAGGTATAAATAAAAACAATAGACGTGTTACTAGACATTTAAAAAATCCTTAGGCACATATGGCTGTCACTCAGTATACTAAAGTTCCCAAATCGTCAATAAGTGGAGTGCTAAGGCAAGAAGACTAGGGCCATATTAAGACGTCCTAGTCCTGGTAAATGTAAAATAAATAAGCACATTTCAAAAAAATGAGAATTATTTTGAGTAGTGTAATATAACTGGAAAAAACAGAATTAATTTAATTACATGATCGGGCGCGATGCGGCACGAAATGCCGTAAACTCAACACCTATTATTTCAACGTCTCGGTTACAACTGAAGAAAATATAAACCACCTTTGTTTCTGCATAATAGGTTGCCTAATATAGTCATTTGAGCATATCTAGACAGACAATGAGATACAATTATCAATTTTTGTGTTTTTTTCTGAATTTTATTAAATCTTGTTTTTTTGTATTGTAATAAATAATTTTTGGATTTATACAAATAAACTAATGATGAATACAAATATTGACGGGGAAGCAAGAAAGTAAAAAAAAATATTTATATTTTAATTTGTGTGCCAAAATAATGACTCGATTTTTACACATCCGGATATTGGAAAACCGGTGAATAACTTTAATATTTTAAATTTTTTGTGTTTGATAAGTGTTAGGTATTTAGACATGCATTTTGACTCAAAAGCAGCCATTGAAACTTGTAGCAAAATTACAAAAAAATTATAATCAGAATAACTCATTTAAAAACTATTTAAATAAATGTTATTTTCTCTTAAAATGACATGCCACATTTTTGGTATATTTTGATAACTTGTGAATTTATAAATTTGACAACAAAATATGAAAAAATTAAAATAGAGAAACCTGTTTTGTTTTTATTTCTAATTAAATAAAAATACTAGAAATTAGTTAAGTGTATCCTTTGAGGATTTGTCTCAGTATCTCAGTTCCATGACACTAAAATTCATTTTTAAGTAAAAAACTTCGATATTCCAATTTTTTTTAACAAATTTGGAAAAGAATACAAACGTGAAAATAGGACATTTACTCCATAACCTCTGTTTTAAGCTGCCTATGATAATTATTAGCTATCTAATTTTATGTTCTAAAGGCATAAAAAGTTTAATACTGTAACCTGGCAAACCGGGCCCTTACCTAGTTTTCCAAATACCCTTAACCTTGGCCTAAATTTCGTCTAGTGGATCCCCACGAAGTGATGTTAAAACCCCCAGCATTACGTTTAGAGTTCAATGTAGCTGTAATGGAGGAAGAACAAAGGAAACACCGAGATTAATTTGGAATACTCTTTATTTAACATCTATTGTTTTGTACAGCCGGACATTTAGATTATGTGCCGTTTTTAGGCTTAACATTATGTTTATGTAGGCTTTTCAATGTGTCATTTCTAACCTCAGAGCTTTTAGTTCCCATAAAAGGGTAAAAGTCGGAAGTACTTTGGTATATTTGTTTGTCTCCTAATATACAATCACACGTTTCCACGGAAATACTGAATTACGCATTGTCTAATAAAAGAGAGTACAGCGGTAGCACGGGGAGTTCGGTGAGATATAAAATATTGCGTCGAATTGAGAACCTCCTCCTTTTTTGAAGTCTGTTAAAATTATTATTGCTAATATGTGTAAAAACCGGAGTGTAGATTTACCTCACCGTGCGTCACGCCTTTCTCTAATATTCCAATGCCGTAATGTACTGACATACTCAGTTCTGTATTGAAAACACTGAACGGTCGATCGGAGAACACCTGATATAAACGGGGATGCCCGTCACGCCCACTTTTGGGGTATCTCAGTAGAGATCCATCCAAGCCTCTATCAGGATTTAATTTACATAGCCGCAAGGGAAATACCATTTTTAGGCCCTTACTATTGAGGTCCCTGGCGGTCTATGGTGGCCTAAGGCGTCTTTTTCGGCACGATGCTCTTTTGCTCTGTCGATTGACAAATCAGTGTCATTAATCACAGTTCTGAGGATACGTTAGCTAGTCCACAAACACAATTTCACCTATTTATTCTAAATAAATAACAAACATACTGACTACTTCCGCGTAATGTCCCGCTAAAGATATGTGGATATGTACAAATAAATACGACCCTCCTCAATATTCATGATTCTACCCGCCGCTGTACATATCTCCTTTTTCCCAAAAAATCAATACACAAAATTAATACTCCTTACGGCTAAAATGACACATTGGTCTACCCAATTTTGTTTTACAAAGAACGACAGAAAACATATTTTTTTAACCCCAAACTAACTTTAAAATATATACAAATCAAGGCATTTACCCTACTAATCTACATCTGTTTGCCATTTAAAAATAAAACCGAAAGTGCTTTTTATCTTTACTGAAAGGGGCAGGTACTGCTTACAGAAAACCAAAACTTTACAATTCGGCCCTTTGGCCATAAATCTAAATGACTTAATTTATTACTTGAGAGCATTGACCGACTTTACAACATTTAATATTTATGACAACAACATCACTATCGATTCTCTAAATAACATAATTTAGCACAATATAAAAGCTCTATAATTTTTCCCACAATAAACGTTTACCAGTGAATACCAAAAATATGACAACACACAGACGCGAATTTTCCCGCTAATGAATATAAAAGTAATAAAGTGATACCTGTAACCTCTAATGTTTGTCTAAATTCTCCCCCGGAATATCTGAATATTAAATACTAGTTTGATTACTTTAATAGTGCCATTATCGTTTGAATTCTACGTAAAAGAAACCTTACAGAAAAAAAAGTATACCGCTGATAAAAGGTCTACCGGGCGTAAGTTCGTCGGGTCAGCCTGAAGGGTGACGAAATCCACTACGAACGTCGCCTAGAGTAGTACTTTTAATCATTTAGTAACATTTTATAATGTTGAATCGGAGATACAAAATATCTGGCGTTTAACTAGACTAGCGTGGTATCCCAGTATCAGTTACGCCAATATTTTAGTCGCTCGGTAGATACAACCTTACAAAACAGTTCTAGGAGCGAAATCTGATTCTATTCAACGTGTATCTGCTTGGTCAACCTGACTATATATCTCCTTTTACTTATATATAAAATATAAGAAAAAGGTGGTCATCCTAAGGACAACTGGATATCTATGCAGAAGCCGTCGTTTATAGAAAATAAAATAGAAAATTTCTCTACTCCGTCGATACCTTTTATTTCCGTTGTCAAAATAAAACAAAAGCGCGGCCACCGTAAGGGTAGCGATATCTCTTTTTAATTATATTTGAAGAATATAAAGAAAAAGGAGTCACCGTGGCGGTAACGTGGATATTTGCGTTTTTTGTTAACTCGACTCGGTGAAGAAGAAAAAACTAATCACCCAGCCCTCAAAAACCTCGGTATTTATACTTAAATTTCCCATATATGCAAATGTATCAGACAGAGAACGACTGTGACTTCGGTGTATAAAGACTATAAAACCCTGTATTAATTCCTGAATATAGCCCTATCGGTTACATCTGTTTTGTTCTGGCGACCGTTAGAGTTTACACGTAGATATTTCTTTTCCCAGAAGTTATTAAACGGCGCCTACTAGGCGGGATACGCTGGGATGTTGTTTGAATTCGAAATCAAAATTTGAATATAATATGTAATATATAGGAATTATTTAAATTAATTATCAACCCCCGGTTGTCGGATTTCAATACATTTTGCAAAATTTCATTTGTGTATCTGTAACTCTTTGAAAATATTAAAAGAAAACAATTTTCACAGTTCAACTTTTAACACCCTGTACATTGAAAAGCAATAATTTTAGACCTCATGTATATTAAATTTATTTCCTAAAATCTTATTAGCCTCTGCCTTCAAAAAAGTAAATGTATGTCTATTTGTGAATACCCTGATATATCGAATCAATTTGTTAAAAGAAAAAATGAAGTCTGGTTGTCAATTGAAGAAATAGGCAAAGGAGTGCAATTAATAAGAGATTAGTTTGAGAGCTTACTCCCTATGGATTAAAAGTGATTTCTAATTCCTAGGGAGTAAAAGTACGATTTTAGTCATTAAAGTCAGAAAATCAAATGATGTGAAAGTTTTAAACGGATAGGCTGTTTTGTCTTAATATTGTCATTGGATCTGTGTTGCTGCATTCTATTTAGATAAGATAGTAGAATAACCTTATGGATGTTTCATTGGAGGCAATTCTGTTGTGACATGTGTTAGAACAAGTACAGAACTTCATCCAAATTTTCCCGCCGCTAGCGCTTCTTCGTTCATTGAGTATAGAATTCTATGTACCTAAAGTTTTCTTAATTTTTAAAAGGTTTGTTCCAACTTGATACATAACCATTCCGTAACGGTACAGCTCATGCGTATTACACTCCAAGCATTCCAACTTAATTTGTACGATGTGCGGGTTGATACAGAATTCGTTCCAACTAAAAAATGAATGATTCCGGAATCGTTTCTGTACCGTCATATCGATTCACAAATTTTTGTGAAACTGTTAGAACTGACTTGCGCAAAGCGATCGATATATGTTGATAGAGCCGATAGAGGTTAGTTTTAGTTAACTTAACCTACAAATTTACAGCGTTTTTATGTTTTTATAGGTAGATAATAACAAAATATACATTTTTATTTAGAAAATACTATTTATAAATCATATTTGGAAAATGAGTGATATAGAAGGAGACAGTGATTTTTTTGATGATGATGATGCTAGACGATGATTTAGAATTAATGGTAAATTGAGAAATGATAATAAATAAAATTATTTGAACAGAATATATTCATTATTAACCAATATTTTCCTTTGTGCTCTAGAATATAGAATGATACAATAAAAAATCAATAACATCCATAATTATAAAACAGAAAACTAGTTTATTTTTATTTTCTTTTCGAAAAGTTTGGTTAGAATTTTCTTCCTCTTCTATATTATCTATTTATGAACCATCAGCAGTTTTAAAAGCGTTCCAACTTATTTTCGATTCCAAAACCATTCAGAGATGGGCTTGCGCAGTACATCGTTCATAAACTGATGTTGGTATGATACAAGAACGGTACCAAACACCAAGTTGGAACAAACCTAAATTCATTTAGGTAGATTGCCAAATTTAAATTAATATTGTTTATATTCTCGAAAATGATGATAAATCGTAAATAAATGTTCATCAAGCATAATTATCGGTCTATCTATTAGTAAATAGAGAAATTATGTTCGTTATTCAGTTTCGACAACTGTTCGATGGCTCGGTAGAAGACGACAAAATTATCAAAGACATGACTTGGACAGCACGGAGCTTGCTGCCATCTATTGATACTGTCCATTGTCTTCCAAGATAATTTGCATTGGTATTGTAGTTGATCTAAATACAATGGTTGCTGGGAAAACCTTTAAAGTAATCAAATATCTGTCAATTTCTGATTCAGAATTATCTTTTACTCCACCAGAATTAGCGAAAGTAGCATCATTAAAAGTATTGTCAGCTCAATTGTGTTCTTACTTTTATGTACATATCCAGGAAAAATAGTACCTATCATTTTTTTTTTCTTTTTGAGGAAAAATTTGTTTAATTCCTGAAAAAAAATTATTCAGCCTAGTTCTGTAAATCAGTTACTTACGTAATTGTGCAAACCGAACAGCTTAAAAATTTCAAATTCCTCCTGAGCCTTTATTGTTAGTCCGATTGTTGTGAAATTTTTGGGAAATATCAATGATAACAAAAATTAGGGTGGAGAACCCTTGATTTTTGTAAACATTCGTAAATTATTTATTTTGATAAATTTAAAAGGAATTTAAAAAAGAACATTTATGCGCCATTCTGTATTAAGTCTAAGAATATTTGCTGTTTTTTGTTTTAATTACTTCTCACATTGTTCTTTTTGCGAGAGGTCCAGTTTGCTCTTAAACAAACTGAATCCTTTTTTAATGTGTTATACTAATTTACTTCTACATATTTAATTTTTTTAACAATTTCTGTAGTATGGGCTACTTATTAGTTCACTAATTCTTTCTAGTGTATTATATTTTCTGATTGTTTTTATATTTTTCTTTATTACAGGTGGATACTTTTGCATCAGTTTACAAGAAACTTACTGGCAGGGAAGTAACATTCGAATTTCCAGAACCGTATTTGTAAATGAGTTTATTTAATAAATAATTCTAAAATTTGATTTTCTTTTTTTTTTTTTTTTTTTTTTTTGTATAAAACTTAATCAATATATTTAACTCGGTAATGGTGAAAAATTATGAATTAAAAACAATCAACATTTAATTTAAATAAAAAAAATTTAATCGTTATTGTTGAAAATTCGATAAGGAATAAGGATAGGATAAGGAACATAATCTATTATGCCAATTGTTTTACTTTCAAGTGGATCAGTTAAGCTAAAATTATTTACAAATTTTAGATGTGTGAAAATTAAAATAGGAGGGAAGAATACTAATAACCTTATATTAATTTATTTCCTGTAATGAAAATAATAAATCCACTCAATTTAAAAAAAAAAAAAGAATTAACAGTTCTGTACATTTAATAATATGCTGAATAAATAATGTAGTTCAGTTATTCTTAGAAACATGATTCAGATTACTTCCACATAGAAAAGGCGACCAGTATAAAGATTGTAAGGTCATACTAAGAAAATATGTCCCTTTAGCTTAAAATGGCGAGTACGAAAGTGATTCACTAAATTTAGTTTTGCTTGTTACTCCTCCATCAGGTTAATACTATAGATAAAAAGTTTTTACTAAAAACGCTAGTAGCTGACTTGTTATTTTCCAGTAACTAATAAAGGAAGTATGATTGTTTTCAACGAATTTTTGACAATTTTTGTGATGTCAATCTGTATCCATGATAACGGTTAAAGAGAAAATAACTAAATTTCAAACTTATACTTTAATCCATCTTGCGATGAGCTGATTAAATTTTGGACATAGTCCGAGTGTCAGGAGGGAGCGTTTTTCTTAATGTATACTTCTGTTATTTATGATGGAGAAGTAAATTGTTTCGAAAAAGAGTTGTTTGTGTTGTCATTTTCGTAAACCTTCATGGTTTCTCTAAAGTGAGCCGTATTGAATAAATTTAAGAAATAATGCAAGATTCAAATTGTCTCATTATATTAAGACTTTGATGAGGTGGACTGTACTCAATATATTTATTTGGTAGCTTAACTTGAAAATAATGTGTTCGATATATATTTTGTTCTACTGCTGTTCATGCAGATGACTAATTTAATTTTATTGTTTACTAGATTTTAAGTTATTTGGTGGTCGTAGAGATTGCTGAAAGCAGATAGAGATGAAAAGGTAGTAGTTGGGGAGAGAAGGTGGATCAGTGGAGTCACAAAATTGAGAAAAATGCTCTTGACTAAGTCCGCCAAAGAGAATAGGTCGCAATGATTAGTTGATCCAGTTTTCCATAGTACTACCCATGCATAAAAGGGGTTGAAAAATTATTATTTGCAAAAATATGTTACGTACATAGCTGTTTGTTTCTGAGATCTGTGATGTAATTTTATAGTCCAGCTCATAATTCTGTCAAGAGGTGTATTTTTGCTAGGCAAATTTAAAAATGTTTTATTAATTCTTGTTTTGTAGCTTGTAGAAGATAATATAATAATACCGTATTTTTCGGACTATAAGAAGTACCTTTTTACATAGAAAAACGGACTCAAATTTTGGGTTCGTCTTATGGTCCGAAGGTAACATTATATTTTAGTTTTATATTTTTCTAAAAATCATATTATTTTGAGGTACATCTTATAGTCGGAAAAATACGGCAATACTCTCCCTAAGTCACTCTCTTTGCGAGTGAATTTTAACCCGTGAAGCCACCTAAGCTTATGTGGAGAACGGACGGCTATCATTATTATTTTCCGTGGCGCTCCGGGTAAGATGAGTAAGGTACTGCGACGTATAATCTAGGTACCATATTAATTGAAATTCAATTACTGCTAATACAGCAACCATCAAATACTGCAAATTAATTAAAAATTCACATGAATCTGCTCTAGGATTCGAAGCTTTATTCATTAAGCCACTAAAAGGTCGTAAATAAATACGCACTGTTTGAAATAAGCCTTCATATACCTCAGGGGGTCGATTCTCGACTCGTAGGAATATTTTCCTATAGGAATTTTTGACATTTTTATGCACATCGAAAATTTATGACATTTTCCTACATATAGGAAAGTGTCACAAATTCCTATAGGAAACGGTTCCTACAAGTCGAGAATCGACCCCCAGGTCGTTAAGCTTTTGGATTTGGACTCGGGTTCAATTTCCGATTGACACAATCTTTTTTTTTGTTAATATAAAATGAAAAATACAACCATTTCTGATTATTTTAAATATATTTTATTTCATAATATAAATCCCTACAGTTAGGCAATCGGTTAATATTTCCGCTTTTTATTTTGCATTGTATATTTTGATAACGGTTCAGAAAAAAAGTGTCATCTTTAATTGAAAAATTTTGTCCGCCGTTGTTCATTGAGTAGGAAATTTACTTTTACACAGTGGCGGCTTGTGAACTGCGAATGTAAGTGGGCGCCAATTGGCTTGAGGGTGGGAATTATGGAAAATGTATTATTTATTTAGTACTTTTTAATTAACATAAAAAAATACAACACTGCGCCTTGTCAATAGTCAATAAACAAAATCATATATTTCTTATAGTAAAACATCTTACAAAAATAATTATTCTAAAAAAAAACATGAAAATCGACGTTTATATTGTTTTTACGAAAGTTCATGGCATGTATCACATCCTGAAATTGAAATAAAATTTCCATGTATTTTTAGTCGAGATTATTTATCTCCATATCTAAAATTATATTTATTGATATCATTTAGCATGGTGTTTCCTAAAAATTTCGTGAAAACTATAAAACAACTTTAAAAAAGCAAAACAATTTCCTGACGCCTCATCATCTAAACAATTCGAAATGCGCAGAAATTGCGCCCCTAACCGCGGCCGTCTGTAGTCCATCAGTCAAACCCAGCAAACACACATACGTACATAAGACGTACTATGTACGTACTGATGGGACGTAAAGTACGTACCATGTACGTACTTTACTGTACAAAGTACGTACATAATACGTACATTTTACAAACGACGGTACGTACCTAGTACGTACTCTGTACGTACCTAATGTACGTACTTAATGTACGTACTAAGTTTGCACTTATTTCAATAGAGTACTTATTCTAGATGTTCTTTTCATCCTTATTGGTACTTACTTATGATGTAAAATGTACATATTAGTACAATACAAAAAAAAGTAAACAAGTTAATTTGTATTTATTTAATTTTTTACATTAAAAGAATAATTTAAATTGTTTTGCTGTTTTTTAAAGTTTTTAGACTATCATCAGCTCTTCTTAGCATCTGACAATTTCCTGTTCTGCAACCTTCTTCTCTTTGCATTTGCTACTTTTTACAGCACCTTCTGCAAAGAAATAATATCAAATTAGAAACTTAACTTGGTTACTTTTTATAATAAGTAATATAATAAAATAGTATATTACATTACGAGTGTGGAAAGTGACATTTTTCACACGAGTGGGAAATATTGTCGCACGAGGCGCAAGCCGAGTGCGACTATCACACGAGTGTGGAAAATCACTTTCCACACAAGTGATATACAATATTTTTCCTACGACCACAAAATAATGTCATCAAAAAAATGTAAAACCAAGGTTATTATTACTATAATAATTAAAATGTATTTAAAAAAATAATCAACAATAATCGTATTTATTCAATTTTCATATTTTCTAATCAAAAAAAAACTAAAAAACAAAAAAAAATTCTGCCCCGCCAGGATTTGAACGCGGTCGAAAAATGGCAAAATTGATAAGTTCGACGTCCTAACCACCTGAGCTAATGGCCCTTGTGTCAATTGAATGATCGAATCGGTTATGTATTTAACCAGAAAAAAGAGCAAACATTATTTTAAAATTATTTTAATAATAATTGTTAAAGATAAATATCTAGGATCTAATTTACAACAATTTCAATAATTTAACAATCATATCGATTTTATTATTAATATGGACATTACATAGATCAAAATAGAAATTAGATGTTTGACATTTTGTGACAACTACTGCGGAAATTAACATATTCTCACTCGGGTGGAAAGTAAATTCTTATTCATACGCGTGTGATATAGGGCACTTTCCATAGGACTATATAGTGTGATGTGTGTCACTTTCCTAAGTGGTCGTAGGACAACAATATAACAAAAAGATGTAAAGTAAAGCAAGCGATAGTTTCTACGGCTCAAAATTATCATTGTCAATATACTCCTGGATGTTAACCTCTCTAATTTGTATCCACCTCTTTTGGCTTTATGCCTTTGAAATCCAATTTGTTCCTGACACTGCTCTATAATATCGGAACTCCTATATTTCTTTTTCTCCGCCAGTTTTGAAGTCCAATGGTTTGAAGTACACAATTACATTAGATACAAAAATAATTGTGACTGGATAGAGTGTTTTTAATGCAACGACTTTATGAAAACTGGCATGCAAAAATAAAAAATCAAAACATCTTACCCACTACAACTGCAGCCAATTATAATTTGTTGCCAGCTGATTATAGTTATTAAGGTAGCAGCCATACTCCTTTTGACAAAATCCAAAATTAAATTATTAGGGTCTGTAAAATATCACTTCTTTTGTCCTCCTGTTTATTCATTTCCTTAAACTTTTTCAATTGTTTTGTAGCATTTTTGTAATGTTTACTATGGGATGGGAGACATATCTATAAATTATATTTATTACACATAATTTTTTTAAATTAAAATGAAACCACTCACCAGAATAAAATGACAAAACTATGTACTTATAACACGCACTAAAAAGTCAAAAAGTCTTAAGAACTGTCTTGTTCAATTATAATAAATTATACACAATTATTTATTTAAAGAAACACTTAATACAGTAGAACTCCAATTATCCGAATTAATGGGGACCGGGACCCATTCGGATAATCAAATATTCGGATAATCGGATTTTTTTTAAAAAAATTGCCATTGGAGAGAATAAAAGCTACGTTTTGATATTGCACTATTTTTTTTATTGAATTAAATGAAAGAAACATGAAATTTTCACATGTTTTAAATATAAATAAAATGTACTTATGTACAAGTTTAGAAATAAAAATCATTGTTTTTTTAAACATTTCCGTCAAGACTTGAAAAAAACGAGCGAGTTTAGTTTAGAGGATAGGTCTGTTCTGGTTTTGAGAAATAACGATCCACAACTGTCGGGCTCATGCGCAGTAAATAAAAAGTGTTCTGGTTTTTCTGGGACTACTTCGGATCTCTCAGTCCAGTGTTCTGGTTTCGTATCCGAAATAATCCGTGATTGTTGTAAACAGTCAAAAAGTGTTCATGCTTGGGAGTGTGGATCGACTCGGACTGTTTTGACCGCGCATGCGTTTTTTAAGTGTTATGAATATTGTATTGGCTTTTTAGACCATACGAAACGTATACAATCCCAAATTGTTTATTTATATGTGGACGAATGTCTCTTGTTCTTGTTTTATTTGTAAATTAAAGCAATTTTAGAATTATTAATTTTTTAATATTCTGTTTTTATTTATTCCATTGAAATGTGATGATAATGATAAACATATACATGCAAATGTTATTTGAAGCTGAGCTTTCAAAAGGAACTTCATTATTATAATAAACAATAAACAAAACACCTTCATGACGTGTTCTGGTTTTCCAAGAATTTCAAACAGTCGGGGATTTTTTGCCTTTACGCATACGGTCCGGCGCAGTTTCAAAACAGTTTTCATTTTGAGAACCAGAACAAACCTTTTATGTTAGGTTAAATAAAATGTGTTTCTTCTTTGCATTTTTTGCCTTTTTGGCCTACGGTCAACAGAAATTTGGTAAAAACTTAGGTTTTTCAATAAAATAGGTATGCAACCAGGATTACGTACACTTAGGTACGTACTTAGTACGTACTTTTCTGTACGTACTGGTACGTACTATTGTGTACGTACTTAAAACGTACATTTTACGTCCTGTACGTACTGTACCAAAACTGTACGTACTTAAGACGTACTGTGCTGTTTGGGAATAGATCATGAATTCAATAAATTATTATTCTAGGAAGGATTTGGAGGGGACATAATAAGTAACACTCATACCATGTGTCGATACGATATAAAATAATATTTTTAATTAGTATTTTATATTCTCTGGTATTTTCGAGGAGGGGCGCGCGGCCATGCGGTCTTAAAGAGTACAAAATAATATAAAATAAATAGAAAGATTAATGGATAGCCTACTGTGGGGTTTATTCTTATATTATAAATAAAAAACAGCAATTCTCATACTTATTTATTTTCATATTTTTCCAAAATAAATAAGAAAACTTTTTTCGAGAATTAAACTTGGGTCGTGAAATTAAAAGATAAGCGCTTAACAATGAGTCATATATGAAGGCTTAATTATTTTGTGTTTATTATTTAATCGAATATATGTGACATTATCATTTTCTACAACTGCTTTTTAATGCATCTTGGTCGAGCGTCTCACCACTGCAAAGTATTTTCACGTTCTACCTAGCTTTGGTTTCTTTGAACACTCCGTCGAGGTGAGCGGACAGTCCGTCGACCGCTGAGGACAGCAATTTTCGCCCGAGGTGGTTTGTTAAAAAATATAGAAAATGATACTTTCTCTATGTCTGTACGTGCTGTTTATGTATTATGAATGTAAACGAAAGGTACTAAAATGGATGCAAATAAATTGTTTGCGTTGTTATTATTGTTGGAAGAGGAAGAGAACAAGAGGAACTGGCAATTTCAACCGTCAAAGTTTCCAATAAGCCAGTGGATGAGTTGTTTTTGTGTCGCGATACAGAAGGTGCCTTTAATATCACTGTGCAGCGGAGGCTTTTTGGAAATGAAACCAAATTTAGGGAGTATTTTAGACTTTCTACAGATCTTTTTGAATTCGTGTTGAGTTTTATAAAGGACATAATTTCCAAGAAACCTAAAAATAAAGTCATGATGTCATCTGTATGTGTGAATTTGTCACTCATTGTTTTAAAATTAATAACAATATGGTCTCCGCACACGCCGACGATTCCGCTGATATCAAACTCAACAGATATCAACCGACTCTTCGCGACAAATCAGCGGCATGATGCCGTCCTGCTCAGCTAAGCGGATTCAAGAAAACCATTCCCATTTAAATACTCTGGTTGGATAAAATCGTCATTAACGAAAAGTTTGTAATTTTGCCTTGCGCAAATAACACACACATAAAAGTGCTACTGACTCCGTACCATTTGTAGATCTAGATTCTAGGCTGGGGTTGTTAGGAAACTTAAAACAAATGCTTATTATTTAGTAGAAAATGACAATCAAATTCTATTTTTTTTTCTATGTAATTGAGAATCGTAGATGTGAGCTTAAAGTGGCTTAAATACATTTTTGTATTCTAAAATTATATATATAATTCATGTTCGTCCGAAAAATCGAACAGGTAAGTTCGTTTTTTGAATACAAATATGTTACAAAGCGTGTATATATTTTTTGCTAATTACAAAGCTTTGCTATGAAATAATTTTCCTTTGATGGAAGACATCTGAGGAACAACGTTTGAATCTTTGAATAAATATTTATTTATTCATAAATATTGAAGTAGATTTGCTTTTCATGGCTCTGAATTGCTCGGATTACCCTCGAGTTTATTCAAACGAACAAATAAACCAAACTATAAAAAACACAGCATCATCAGCGCCTTCTTGCGGAAATATTGCGTAACTTTAGTATAACGAAAAGATCCTTAGGTGCATAATTATATTCGTTGAAAGGGGCCAAAAATGGCTTCACTCTGTGGAAGGATCGTTTCATCTTCAGCCAGAAAACATGTTCTATCTAGTAGTTACCGTTTCGCCTCCAAAGGTAAGTTGAAATATTTATAATTATTAACCTTTAGCCCTACCCAGCTAACCATAAGTTTGACATTACGTAATTAGAAAAATTCAATAGAACTATTAAAATAACTGTTCGTAATATTTAAATCCAGTATTCCAAGAATTCTATGACTAAACTGGGTATTTATAAATGCATCGTAATAAGTTATTAAGTAATAAAAGTTTAGTATAATCATAACCTATATTTTTATTACAGTTACCATGGGTGATCCACTTGAACATGCAACGGGTTTAGAAAAACGTGAATTATTAGCTAAAGTAGCCGGTAATGAAAACCCCTTTGACATTAAAGTAATCAAAAGAGGTCCTGGTACCAAAGTCTCCCCCAACGAAATCCCTTCAGCTTTTGACGCCCGTTTAGTGGGTTGTGTTTGTGAAGAAGAAGCAACCAGCATTAACTGGATGTGGCTGCACAAAGGAGAGCCTAAGAGATGTGAATGTGGCCATTGGTTTAATTTGGTGCACAAAGCACCTGTATAAATAGCTTAACTAAATGTCCTTTTAGAGTATGATAGTGCATTATTATAATAAATTTATTTCGTTCTTATAAGAATATATCATTTTATGTAAATATTTAGGTATTTAAAAAAGTTGCCTTTTTTTAAATGCATTCTAGTTCAGTTTTTTTATTATTGCACCCTCTGTATATCTACATCTTTAATATGTTTATAAAATTATAAATAAATAAATAAATAAATAAATAAATATATATATTACGGAATAATCCATTAGTATCAATAAATTACATAAAATAAAATAGCTTAAGTACATAAAAAAAAAAAAAAAAGGTAGGCACAATAAATCTAAAATTTCATATATGAAATGTAATAAACTAAACTAAAGATATTAAAAACAAATTAAAAACCCTAGATAAGATATACGTACATATTAAGTAAAGTATAATTGGCAATAAGATTGGAATGAATTTATGTATTTAATAGTTGGTCATTATTTTTTGACAAAGTTGGAAATGCTTAAAATGTTAGATGGGATGTGTTAAAATAATTTTGATGTAGAAGTAGGATTCCCAGTTTTTGTTACAATGAAAATAAATAAATCCTTAAAGAATCATTATATTTTTTGAGGTAAGAAAAATTTTCAATTTATTAGTTTGGAAGATATCGATGGCTTGAGTGCAAAACGTAACTCACAAAATTTCAAAAAATCGCTTTTCGCGTCATTGGAGTCGTAGCTAAAACATACAACATACGAAGTGCCCAATACAAATAAGTTGCAATAAAACGTGTGAATTTGAAAGTTTCATACTCTGCAATAAGCAAGAATTAGACACATAATTAGTAACATTGACAGTGATTGAAAATATTTTATTATTATCAGGAATTCCATTATTTTTTTCTGATAGAGGCACGTAAAATTTTACCATATCCTTTAAGTTTGAACCATTTTTTATGCAAAAATATGTTGGGTCTTTACAAATACTATAGAAGATGTCGATCTACCTAAGTTGAAGCCACTTCAAATCCTACACTTCCTTGAGAAGATAGGATTAGAAGTGCAATAATACCCCATACCCAAATAATATGATTTCCAGTTCTTTAGTTGAACTCTGAAGAATATCTTTATAGTGAATAATTAGAATTCTGCATCTTAAAAATGATGAGTTTACCTGAGCATACATTTGAAAAATAATTTAGTTAGTTTTTTCAATGTTAATCATATGTTCAAGATAAATATCTTTGTAATTCTTCATATACTTAATTAAAAATGCACTAAAGGTGATTAAACCCAAAAAAAAAAAATATTCGATTGATCATTATAAAAATTTTGTGATATTGCCAAATATTAATAAACATGTTTTTGTCTAGTCTTAGGCATTTAGTTTCTGCTTAACAAAGTACATATACAGCTTACAGTGCAGTTGCTAATATTAACATTTCTATTAATGACCGACCTCCAAATAAAACAACTACTCGTTATTAATAGCTGAAATATTTGTTTTAGTTTTATTTATTTATTTATTTATTTTTATAAACTGTTCTACAGGAAATTCCCAATTAAAGAACACGTAAAATATGATAAAACACATATATCAACAAAATACAATATAAAGTTTTAAAACATGCATGTCAAGTATGGCTAAAAATTAATTTAAAATGCCAATTTATGCCTTAGGTTTTAATTACAGTGGTTATGTTATCTAACAAGCGTGTCAGGGATTTGGGCAAGGTGCCAAATTATAAAATGTAATGCCTTTTTTTGCGTGCCAGTGCCTATTTTTGGCATAATATGGATAATATATAATATTTAAAAAATATTTTATTGAGCTATTGTTAAAGGCAAAGATTGAGTAGATTAGGTTCATTTTGGCGTTTCAGTATCTAGTGTTAAGCAGTATCAACTGAAGTACTTGGATAGGGACCCACTGGAGAAAAACCGAGCGCTACACAGCAGTCACTACGAAATATATTTTAAGCAGGTATTTGGGTCGCCTTTTTAAGAAGGCTAAAACCGTAGATCCAGAGACTATAGATGTTGGGCTCAATAAAAAGATCATACCTCTGGTTGGAACATCTGGAGATTCAGCGACATTTCTGGTAATAGTATAACGTGCTAATCAACGTCGATGATTAAACTTCAGTTAAAAATGCTTTGAATAAATTGAATATATTGACAAGAAAAAATATGTTTCTATTTTGTATGGAAATTTCTCAAAATAAAAAGTCTGAAATAATAGTAAAAAGTAAAAATGATGTCATCATATGTTAAAGTATTGGAAAGAAAAAAAGAATTTGAAATGACTAGTCAGTGATATAAAAATATTGTATAGGAATAGTCCAAACAGAATTTTCGATAAAAATTAGAATAGCAACAAGTGCATAAAGTTGTACCTATTTTTTTATGCATGGAAAATAAAAAAGGTCAATTCTCACTAGGCGCTCAGGTTACACTATGCTCGCGATCTACTCACAGTAGAGGATGTGAGGTAGTATTCACCATGATACACTCAACTAGCGCTCATTTCCCAAAAATCTTATATTTTTTTAATTCCATCTCAGTATAGTCTAAACCAGCCATACTCAAGTTTTTTTCCTTCGTTCCACATACGTATGTTTACGCGGGCCGCAATATATTGAATAATGACCCTTTTTTACGTTTTAAAATTAGTGGGAATCACTAATAAATAAATATATATATATATCCCGTCGGGTTACCTACAAACAAAGATAACTCACATTTTTAGAGTTTCGAGAAAACGCGGTTCAAATGTTTAAAATTAAAAAAAAAACTAGTAAAAGCTTCAAACTGTTAAATAAACAATGTATTCAAAACATAATTAGTTTTCACAAAGTATAAACGATTTGTAACAAAAAAAAAGGGAAATAAGGGGACAAAAACGTCACTTTGCTTATTTTAGCTGTCGGATTTTTTGGTAGACACACTATTAGCAACTGATCACAATGTTATGATTATATTTTGGTAAAAATGCCATTCATCTTGTTTGTGCATATTGTGAATGTATCAATATGGATTCAGTTTTTTGACCATTTATCATTCGTTCACATTTTTGTTTATGCCGTATATTATTTGAACTATTTTGGAAACGAAAGTGTACTTAACTCGAAAGTGCCAAAAGTGGAGCTATCTTATTTTTGTAGTAATTCTATGATCCAAACATTTATTTAAAAATTAGCTTGATATTTAGCGCAAGGACCGATGTATGTTTTCGTGCATCTTGCTCAAAATTTTAATAACGGAGACCTATAGTTATAAAACGCAACTTAATAACAGTGTTTCGGGCCGCAAAAAAAGCCTGAAGGGCCGCAGGTTGAGTATGGCTGGTCTAAACGAAGTCAATTTGAACATCATAAAAACTAAATGTCTACCGACCGTCGACAGCTTCTTTGTATAGCATGGGCGGCGTGATGATTTTTTTTCAAAATTAATTTTATTTTTGATATAGGTATACCTGGGTGATTCTCGCCTAACTGTGATTTTTACAACCTACATTTTTCTAAAATTAAAAATGTTTCAAAACGTATGTTTTACGCGTTTTTGTTTTCTATTTATGCATAGAAATAAGCCTGTAAAGTGGTTCTACTATTTAAAATTTTAATGCCACGGTACTGACATTATTTCCACGGTACTGACATATAAATGATTATTTTTTTTTACCAATCCAAAGATTGGTATAAAATTGCAATAAAATCCAATGCAGTATGCATTAGATTGTAGTTATGAGAGGTACATTTTGTATTAAAAAATGAATTTTGATAGAAATTTATATATTTAATTTTAAAAATGAGAATCGGACATGCCACGGTACTGACATTTCGAGTATATTTATATGCAGCTTAAAAAAAAATTACGAAGGTTTATGATCTAATTCATAATGTCGGTTGTAAAATACCTCTAAATTTATGATATTATTAACTTTTTGATGAGGAAAACTTATGCTAAATGATAAATAAAACACTGGACATAAAAAATCACAGTTAGGCGAGAATCACCCACCTACACACGGATATTTTTTTATTAGAAATTAGTAATGCCAAAATAACACCAGTTTGTCCTGCCATGAGAATTTAATAAATTATCTAAATTTTCAGGGCTTGAATCTGAATTTAGAGTTATAATAATGGGGTCAATAATATTCATTCTCCTTTTCTATGACATGCTGGGCACATTTTATCCATTTACCACTGTAACCGTTCGTATATTTCCTAGTACGGAAGCACTGCCAGTTGGAGATTGATTATATTTTCTCAGGTTTTTTTTATCAGCAGCCCAAATCATCTCGATCGGATTGAATTCGCAGTAATAGTCCAGACAGCACAACAAATCATTTGGATATCTACTGGACACCCCAATATCCACTGAATGTCCAGTCCATGGTGGATATCTATTTTATATCCATGAAATGTAATTTATAGACATGCAAATGTTCATAAATAATAGTAATTATATAGCAAATTATTAAAAAATTACGCCATTGTGCCTAATAGTACCGCTCAGATATTTAAAATTATTTTTTTTAAGGTGTATTCAATATCCCATGTACATCCACTAAATATATCAAAGTCTAGACGCAAACCATGATGGATATCCACTAGATGTAATTTTTGATTTTGCTTACTAAGTATATATGACGATACCACTTTCGCTCGTTGAATATCTACTCATGCTCAACCCGCCGTAATTGAGTTCGATCGAAATTGGTATCGCAATCAGACTCCTTTTAGAGACTGGAGTCGAGAATTTCCATTTATTGCTGGAGTCCTAATAAGGATGACTTTCTCCTTAGTGGGCAAAATCAAAGGCAGAGTGTTGAAAATATTTTTTCTCTGCTATTTTCTTTCGACGTTATTCAATAATAATATATAATAATTAACGGTATACTCCTGCGGGGCCATGCTACGATGCGAGCAGATGACTCCATTATGACCATTTTTTTGTTCAATTTTTTGTACTTGAAGCCACAATCTAGCAAAATATTATGCAATATGTCTAGAGATTTATATTCATAATCGGGATAATCCAGTAACTTGTTACGAACCATTTCTAAAGTCGGAACCTTGTTTTCGTCGTAAAACTTGTGTACAACTCGGCGTATAACTTCTTTGTCGGCATAACCAACTTTATCTCTTTTTCGTTTTACGGAATGATTAATGACATCTCCTGCTCTAACAACAGTATAAATTATAGTACGAGGAAGTTTAGTCAGCTCACAAATTCTTTTTAAAATTTGGTTTTGTGAGGCCCCACGCTTTTCACTTTTCAAGCAAGTGTAAATATCTAAAATAAGTCTTCGAGTTTAAGGATGCAAGTCTTTATTTAAAAAATCTGACGGCTCCGCCATAGAATTATCTCGGAATTGTCTTATGGGGAATTTTAGAGTTGGACAGCTTGATTGGAAACATCAAGATAGAATAAAGTAGAGAGGACATAAACACTATTTTGTGATACGACAAGTGAACGCACTTACTTTGGAGTCGTATTTTATTAATTTGAAGGTAATAATTTTATATTTAAAGATTGACGCAATTAAAATGTTTTTATATCATTTAAATTACGCTATTTTAAAAAAATATATTTATTCTCACCAAAACTGACTAGCTCGAGTTTGACATGTCGTAAAAATAATGCAGAAGTATCGTCAATCGTCATATCATCTTATCTTTATTTTATATCAATGATCGGAAAGTTCGTATACCCTGTCCTACTTTGTGACGTCGCTGTGTGCGTTGCACAAATTAAGGTTATTTAAGTGTTTTTATCCAGGCATATTGTTTGTTTCCCATGTTTCACGGATCTGTTGAGGTGTGGGCGTCTCTTTTTAGCTAAAGACTTTCGCGAACACTTCTCACCCCCTCGGGCTTACTTATAAAAATGCGCCACGGAAACACGATTAGCCAGAGCGCAGTGGCGTACCAAAAAATAGACATTAACACGTATGTAAATAATAAAATTATTAAAATTGAATTTATATTTATTTTAAAATAATGTGTTTTTATGAAATGTAACTGGGTGTTCTCTGCACAAATGAACCAATGGAGACATCGCCCCTAACTAAGATCAATATACTTGTATGTATTGATTTTTTCGGCCTTTGATGAAAATGTTATTAAAATGAGAAAAACCAAACATGGTGGATTTTCACTTTTATTTAAAAATCGTATTCTTAATAGTGTTACTCATTAGCCTGCGACCGTTATAGGAAACGTACGAATAAAAGAAGAGGTATATCACCCTACAGCGTGAAATGTGGAGAAATATCATTCCATGTCAAGAAACATCTGGACGTTTCGAGAAGGTTAAAGCAAACTATATAAGTTGGTGATCCTGACGTCAGAAGTGGAGTTTTATAATAGAGGATATACGTTAATGTTATCGGTTGTATAGATGAATTATTGTAAAAGTTGAGTTGAAATAAATTGAGAACCTGTGTAACAATATTAAATTTGAAAATGATTAAATGATACATTGTTGTATCTTTTATTTCACAGATTATTCTGGTGACACACTTATAAAAGTTCGCAAGAAATTCACTTTTAATTAAAAAAAAGCTTAGTCTTCTGGTGTAAAATGATTATTTTGTGCAGTTAACTTTAATCACTATAAAAAATACAGTTTTTTATTTTATCAAAATCCATTGTGATAGCACGCTGATATTTAAACACAAACAAAATAACAATAATTACTTTATTAAAACTTTTCCCTTTGAAAATTGTAAAAAAATGTACAATACATATTGCTGCTTAAAATTACAACACTTAATACACAAATACAAAAAATTTTAAAAATTTTCAATAAAAATGAAATACATAAGGAGAGATAAGTTGATAAGATAATAAGTTTTGTGCCTTTTCCAAATATCTATAAAATGCATAACATAGAATTACTTTAAACAAAAAAATAACACTAAATATCTTACAGCCACCTTGATAATAATTTTTGTGATTATATCATGTTTCCATTCACACAAATTCAACCATTACCAGAGTCACTCACTGTACTATTTTTATTGAGGATTAAATCTAGTACAATTAACTACTTTCAATTAGGTATTTTTACAGTCTTTTTCGTTTCTTCTTGTTTAACTGGTTCCGTTTCTTGACTAGATTGAGCGGAATCTTTTTTCAACATGTAATCGTCCAGATCCACGTTTTCAAAAATCTGTAATAAATAATAATATAGTATGATCGATAGTTTTGTATTTACGAGTATTTAGTAGATTACTGTATTGTGTAGAACTTTGATTTGATGATCATTTAAATTGAGGTGACCGAATGTTCAACACGGGAAAGATACCTTACAATGAGTTGAACAATTAGTTTAAATAGGAGCATGCACATAACACAGAGGAGCCGCTGTCAGAGAGCCTCGATACGTCTTCGACTTCTATTTTCCCCACTACACCTATCAGACCAGTGGCGGCTTGTGGCCACAATATTATGGGGTTGACAATGACATAATAGGTAGGTTAAAAATCTTTCAGTGTTTTAAAAAGTTATAAGAATGATAGAAATAGAAATTTGTAATCAAATGTGCGACAAATAAGTAGTAAGTAAACTAAATATGTTTAAACACAAAGTTCATGAGTCTTTGATTTCTGCCAATCATGCGTCAATATTTTATAATATAATGCATAAACTAAAACGCGATATTCCAGACAATTATTTTGTCAACAGAAATCACTTAATCAATTCGCCCTCCACCGCGGCCAGTCTATGCTAAATCATAACAAAATCTCGGCACAACAAATGTATACCATAAGGGACAGAAAAGAGCGGCCCAATTAGTTAGCGACACATTTGAGTAAAGATCGTTTATAAGAAGACGTGATTGAGTTTTAGATTCAAATTTATATGCAATAACAAACGCATTAGACTTAGTAAAAATTACAGTGACAAAAATTCTCTACTTCCTGATCGTCGATGATTAAATATATTATTCTGGGAATTCAAATATTCTTCTCTTAATGAAAATGGTAAAAATAATGTAAAAACTAAGCAAAATCACTTTTGGCAATATGAACAGGACTGTGCAAGCTCATTCTTCACGAAAATGATGTTCAATAGTGCACAGGAATAGAGTCCGATAGACGAATCCAACAAAAAATAAAATTGACAAATTTGACGGGGGGTGGATGGCTCAGTGGTCAAGTCTGGACTTGTGAATCCAAGGGTCCGCGGTTCGAATCCCACTATTGGCCGGGATTTTTTTAAATAATTTAAAAAAAATTCTGATGCCCCACTCCGATCATTCATTGTTGGGTTCGAATTAACAGTGATGTTCCTGAAGTGGCGCTTGTAAACAATAAAAAGCCCACACAGAACACACATGAATGAAAATCAAGCACAAATTGAGACTGGCATATTAGGTGTATACACTTAATCAAAAAAAGGAAAACAAAAACATTGACAATTCCTACATCAATATCTATTTCAAATACATGTGTAAAAAATGTAATCTGGACTGCTACATCTTGAATAAATAAACGCAAATGGAGTAGATGTATCCGATCTAAATTAATAAATGTTCCAGAGATAACAAATGCATGGGATGAGGATATTCAAACAGCAATGTAAGATACAGATCGACAAAAATTGGCGATTCAAGCTAAGCGCTCTCTGGTGTACATTTTATAAACTATTTAAGCAGATATCTGTGTTGCTATTGTTATTATAATTGTAACAAATCTTATATTAGCTATCACTTATATATTAAAGTAGAACTCAAAACTTTAATTCCGAAAGTCACGAATTTTAGTGACAGAAATTTTACCTTTGGTTTAAAAATCTATTTTGAAAAAATATATTAATATGACAACAATGTAGTGTCGCTTGCCTAATTCAGTCTTGTAATTCAATCCCCGATGGGTATAAGGGCCTGGAAGTGGTTGTTTTGTGTTGTAACGCTGTTGAACCTTTCCCAACTAATAATCAGGGTTACATTCAGAGGACTTATTTTAGTTATTTAGCTAAGTATCTTTAATGGCAGGTACTACAAAATTAAAATAAATTCAGTTTTTGTAGTTAGTAAATATATAAAAAATAATTTATTTGGTTATAAATAATATGTTGACAATAAAATTAATAGCTTTTGTCTACTTAGTTAATGGACCAAGCAGCCTTACCTGATTTTCTCCAAAACTGACTCGTTTCGTATGAGTTTTGGGAAATATCCTGGGCACTGGTGGTTCCTCCGTCTTATTCGTTTGAATAATAGGCCTGTTCTTGCTAATAACGAGATAGTTAAGAGGTACCACTCCGGCTTGACCTTTGCATGTTGCGAAAGCCCATCCAGTATTTTTCAATTTCATCTCGTCTTGTATGTAAGTAGGAGCCAATAGTACAAGGTCGTTGGTCTGAATGGTCAGTTCATTGGGGGCGGTTGCGATGAAATCAAAAACCGCTTTGGCACGGATACCTGGGGATTTCCAATTTTCAGGATTACCTTTGTCTGGAAAAAAAAATAATGTATATAAAAACGCTTTCCAGTCGTCCCAATTAATTGCTTGAAATAGTGACACGTGACAAATTAATTATATTCTCACACGAAACTAAAAACTTGATAAAACAATTTTTAATTATGGCTTTTATAAATTTTACTATTATTCTGTAAAATCACAGAATGCCATGGAATTTTAATGAAATTAATAAGATTAATTTTGGATCCGATACAGAATATTTTAATAAATTTATTTTAATGATAGCAGTATCTTTTTAATTACAGACATTAACGTGGATTTTCGATTAAGAACAGAAAGGTAGGTCATAAATGGAACCACATATTCTGGGCTCAAAAATAAATCGATGAAACATAACTTACCTTAATGCAAATGTACACAAAAAAAAAGCACCTGAAAAGTACAAAATAAAAATGGATTTTTTTCAATTTTTCATGAGCATTTAACATTTGTTTTCTTATCGTAAGATCATCTTTTTCATATAAATCCACGAAATCTGTACAGCCCATAAAACTTTTAGGGAGGTTTTAAACCCCTTAAACCCCCCAAAATTTTCCATGCGTTACAATTAAATTATTATCGTGACATCATTGATTTAAAACATTTTTTTTTTAATTTTTTTGCTTCTTTTTCGAAAAAAAAAAGCCTATTTTTATCGAGATGCGACCTCTTTTTCATTATTCTTCAAAAATTTTGAGTAACTAAAAGTAAGTTATAACTGAATATTCATATTATTTGCAGGTATAAAAAATATGTACAAAATGTGTTGTATTTACTATAATAAATGTTCAAAATGGCCTTAATTTTCTTGAATTCACATTCGGCAGCTTTTAAAAAAGAAAACCGAATTTTTGCACTTTCAATGATTCGATGTTTCAGTTGTTGTTTGTCGATTATTTCAACAGAATACACGTCCTCTTCCATAAAACCCCAGAAGCAAGAGTCAATAGGGTTAAGATTTGGACTTCTGGCTGGCCAAAAAATAGGTGCATCAGACCCCTTCCAATGCAACGTCCAGGGTACAGACAGAAAAGATATTCCCTAACTTCGTTATCGAAATGCGCTGGAGCTCCATCTTGTAAATACCACATATTTTGCCTTATTCCTAAATTTACCTATTCCAAGTTCTGTGGTAAATCATTTTGTAAGAACTGCAAGTAATTTGCACCATTTAAATTATTTGAAAGAGATACTGGTCCTATTAAATTATTATTCACAATGCCTGCCCAAACATTGAATTTAAAAGTCTTTGGATGATGAGTCACTTTTTTTGCGCGAGGATTGTCTTCGGCTCATTTGTGTTCGTTATGGTAATTCGTAATGCCATTTCTATTGAAGGCTGCTTCATCGGTACACAAAATATGATTAATAAAATTGATATTTCGATTGCTTTCCGTTAAGAACCAGTCGCAAAATCCTATTCTTTTAGGGTAATCATCTAGTAATTCTTGAACGGTTAAGTGATAGGGATGAAGCTGCTGTTCCTTCAATCTTCTCCAAACCATCATGTGACTAATATCTCATTGAGCAGATATTACCCTTGTACTGCTTCCAGGGTTTTCTTCGATTAATTCTAAAATTTCCTCATCGTTTGTATCCAGTTTTGGCTGCACTATTACCTTGGCATTCACCTGTGATTACCAGAATTACAGATAATTATCTGGAACCTTGTTTTAGCCTGACCAAACTTACCTAGAATTAAATGCATATCTCCAATTTCTGCAATCATATAAACCATTGTAAGAATTTTTCTTAACACTCTTAAAATGTACAATAACCGAAAGCTTCAATTGACAGTACGTAATAATTGTTAAAGCAACGGTTTGTTATTTATCCGTAGAAACTACAAGTGTTGAAGAGCCAACTTCAAAATATATAATGAAAAAGAGGCCGCATCTGGATAAAAACTGGCTTTTCGAAAAAGTGCTAAGAGGGAAAAAATTTAAAAATTATTTATTAAACCACTGGTATCACAATACTAATTTAATTGTAACGCATAAAAAACCCCCTTAAAATTTTTATGGGCTGTACAGATTTCGTGATTTTATGTGAAAAAGATGCTCTTACGATAACAAAGCCTTGTATCCATTTTCATTTTAAACTTTCCAAGGGCTGTAACTTTTTTGTGTGCACATTCGCATTGAGGTAAGTTATGTTCAGTCGAGTTATTTTTGACCCCAAAATATGTGGATTCATTTATGACCTACCTTTTTGTTAAACCCTGCATAAAGGGGTGGGTTGGCTCCATGGTTAGTCATGACTTTGAAATCGAAAGGTCTCAGGATCGATTCCCACCGGTAACAGGGATTTTTATTTAATTAAAAAAAAATTAAATAACTTGTAATGCATAGGTAGGATTCTCCACTCGGCCATTCACTGTTAGGTTCTAATTAAAGAGGCGCTGGGAAACACTAACAAAGCCTACACAGAACACGAGGCTAATAACCGAGGTTGTTGATGCCGATGACACGAAATTAAAAAAAAGAGAATGAAATAAATACGGAAACAAAATAATTATATTTATAAAAAAGTTACGTATGTTTTTTGTAAAAATTATAAAAGTTCTCTCGATAATATTAACAAGAGAGTGGGTTTTCCTTCCCCCATAATAATTATTCACAGAAAAGAACTGTAAAGAGTATAAAAGTATACTATTAAGATTATATTCATACTTTTACATAAAAAAGCTTATAGTTCCTCATCTGACTACAAAAAGTGGCATGCATGTCGTGTTTTTTGTTTGCTATTTGTAGTTAGGTACGTGGAAGGGGTTAACAACATGTACTATGTTCCGATGGTGGGAGCTGTCGTGTAACCTGTCAAATCCAAAATAATGTTTATTATCGAGTCTTTCGCTTTTTTGCTGGCAATGAAATAATTTGCTTCTAGACGTCTATAACAATAAAACAATCCATTTGTAAGCATTTTTGTCGTCCGGTTTTGCTACTTTCAGTGGAAGTGTAGGAATTTCCCAAAACCTCTGATTGTTTTATTGTTATAGACGTCTAGAAGCAACAGGCACATATTACATATTGTTCCTCCCCCTCCCATGTATCTAACTACAAATAGCTAGCAAAAAACACGACTTGTCACATTTTAGTCAGAGGAACTATTAGTATGGTGAAAAGGTGTTTTCCATTAATAAATTTATTTTTTATATATTTCAATGAATTATCTGTTTTATTAAAAAACGGGAATATAAATTAATTAAAACCGCTAAAAATTAGGACACAAGCAAATTAAAAGGCGTTAATATATAAATAATAGTTTTACAAAGATTGAAATCTGTAGTTATTTTTAATTTGTTTAGACATTGCCTCACTTTTTCTTGTTGTGTTTAGGCACCTGTAAAAATGGTTTGAAAAAGTAAAAAATGTAAATTAGATAATATAAAAAAATTATCAAATCAAACATCATATTTGCTTACTGTAAAACGCAAATAGGACGAATATTTTAATTTATTTTCGACAAGGGGTCGGCTTTTTTATATCATCGAATTAATTGTAATCTCTCGGGGTATTGTGTTAACGACAGCAAACAGCGTAAGACTAGACATCTTGCCATTAATTATTTTTTCCTACGACCACTTAGGAAAGTGACACATATCACACTATATAGTCCTACGGAAAGTGTCCTATATCACACGCGTATGACTAAGAATTTACTTTCCACCCAAGTGAGAATATGTTACTTTCCGCAGTAGTTGTCAAAAAATGTCAAACGCCTAATTTCTATTTTGATCTATGTAATGTCCATATTAATACTAAAATCGATATGATTGTTAAATTATTGAAATTGTTTTAAATTAGATCCTAGATATTTATCTTTAACAATTATTATTAAAATAACTAAGATTATGTTTGCGCTTTAATTTGGGTAAATACATAACCGATTAGATCATTCAATTGACGTAAGGCCCATTAGCTCAGTTGGTTTAGACGTCGAACTTATCAACTTTGCCATTTTTTGACCGCGTTCAATCTATGGTTCAAATCCTGGCGGAGCCGAATTTTTTTTTTGTTTTTTTTTTTATTTTTTATTAGTTTTTTTTTGTTTAGAAAATATGAAAATTGAATAAATACGATTATTGTTGATTATTTTTTTAAATACATTTTAATTAATATAGTAATAATAACCTTGGTTTTACATTTTTTTGATATTATTTTGTAAGCTAATTTCTATTTTGATCTATGTAATATCCATATTAATACTAAAATCGATATGATTGTTAAATTATTGAAATTGTTGTAAATTAGATCCTAGATATTTATCTTTAACAATTATTATTAAAATAATTTTAAAATAATGTTTGCTCTTTATTTTGGTTAAATACATAACCGATTAGATCATTCAATTGACACAAGGGCTGTTAGCTCAGCTGGTTAGGACGTCGAACTTATCAATTTTGCCATTTTTCGACCGCGTTCAATCTATGGTTCAAATCCTGTCGGGGCAGAATTTTTTTTTTGTTTTTTTTTTTGTTTTTTTTTTGTTTTTTTTTATTTTTTTTTATTTTTTTTTTATTTTTTTTAGTTTTTTTTGTTTAGAAAATATGAAAATTGAATAAATACGATTATTGTTGATTATTTTTTTAAATACATTTTAATTATTATAGTAATAATAACCTTGGTTTTACATTTTTTTGATGACATTATTTTGTGGTCGTAGGAAAAATATTGTACATCACTTGTGTGAAAAGTGATTTTCCACACTCGTAATGTAATATACTATATCCGAATTGTGTCCTTTTTTTTGTTCATGAGTCGTTTACACGAATTACTCAATAAAGAAGAATTCAAGTTGGAACGAAACAGAAAACTATTACATATACAGTCCATTCCAATCCCATATTTGCGAATACCGAATTAATTTTAAAATTTATACATAATGAGAAGATATCATGTTGTATCTATAAATATTTTTTTCTACGATAACTATCCAAAGTAGGCTTTTGTGCTTCGAAATGCAAGTGCAAAGTTAAGTTTTCCGCTAA